TGGCAGTGGCAGTTACGTTTTCCTTCACCGACGCTTCTTTCTCGCATCTGGCAGAATAACGATAATTGTGAGCTTTGCATCTTACCAGAGGAAAAAAATAATAATTAGAGGTTCAACTTTTGGATTTCTCTACATTTCAGGTAAATAATTTATATTCATACTTCATGTGATGCTTAGGCTGAAATTTCATTGTTTTTTGTCCTATAAATATTTACACTGAAACAAGTTTTTTCTAGATCCGGATGAGCAAATTTCGTTCAAAGATATGCCACAGATTGAGATGTTATTTTCCAATTTTACTGGAACAAAATTCCATCTCCAACGTTGCGTGTTCTACGAAACTCTTCGTGGAAGATGTTTTTATGGTAAAATAACACTATTTAAAGTAGTAGTACGTTTAATTTCTCTTTTAGTGTGTGTTTGTGTGTGTGTTTTAAACTTACACAGTTGACACTTCATTACTTTTGGCCGCAATTAGACCAAATTCATTCCCAGCGTCAAATTATGGTGGTCGAAATGTCAAATTATGAAGAGGTGGGCCCTCATTTCATTTTTATTTTTGTTAATTAGCGATTTATTTAGTTTGAGTACTGCAGGGTAATATTTTAAATTTTATTTGATTTACAGATAGCAGGCAAATCTTCACTAGAATAGTAAACTCGAGTCAGCTAGAATCAATTTTTACTAACATTATAAGTAATATAAGTATGTACATATGTATATACATATAAGCATGACAATTTAATTTTTATATTTATGTGTACATATGTACATGTATGTAGTATGTATAGACATGTGAAGAAATTTAATCTCTAACCAAATCGTATTTAAATAAATAAATACATATTTTAGAAACTATATTTGCTTCGTTTTTTATTCAGGTTAGGGAATTTTAATGTACGACTCCTTTGTAGTCAGCTTTTCTGATGTGTAATTCGTGTAATATGTATGCAATGATAATAACTGAAATAAAATACACATTTATTTATAAATATTTGCCTCCCCCAGGCTCTGCTCTATTACCGCAAGGAGATAAATATATGCTCAAGACGGTGATAACTTGTCACCTATATTGTCACCGCATGTAGGTAAATTATCTCCAGTCGGAGACACAGCTTACCTCCGTTGAATACATTCTGTAATCGACGGTAACAAATTGTATCCCGGTAAGTGACAATAATATTTACCTCCGCTCGGGAGACAAAACACACTTGTCAACGGAAGGAGGTAAAATATTACCCTACGGTAGAGTTGCATAGTACCTACACGAGGAGACGATTTTGGTGGCAATTTTGCTGAGAGTGTATAGCTAGTGATGCATACAAAATCATCAAATTTCACTCAGAACCAAGCTGCAAATAAATTGAGCACCAAGCTCTTCATCTTTTATTTTCTCGTGAACTTTTCAAATATGGAAAGTTCTCGAATTCACCTCTCCCTGCACCTGCGTCGGGTGAGTCGTGTGTGCTTGTGAGAGTGGCTTTATCAGGTCTCGCTGGAGGTTCACCCTCATTTAGTTTTCCAGGTGTGGAGGCCAGGTGCGCTAGCCAGGTGCTTTCTCCTCCTGGAATAAATTGCCACCGAACCGGTTGACGGAAGTTTCCAGACTTCTGGTTTTTATATGCGTTGACTTTTGTGAAATGAAATAAGAAGTGACTTCTGCAGGTGCAGAAGCCTCAGCAGCAAGTGCACTTAACAGCAGCAGCAGAAATAACTGCAGCAGCAAGTGCACTTAACAGCAGCAGCAGAAATAACTGCAGCAGCAAGTGCACTTAACAGCAGCAGTACAGCCAATTGTCCACGTTTGGGGGTCTTGGCCCATCGCAAATAACTACGGCTCCGGCTCAGTGCAGACCTCAGTCCAGTTGGACTTCTGACCTCCTCGTCTTCTCTCTTCCTGCAAAATCATCAGAATACTCTGATATTCGAGCCTGGGTCTCAATTCACACTGGTACGCAAGATAAGATTTAAATCGCGTGAACGAAAGCAAACAAAACTCAAGTGCACAAGAGTGAACGAGAGTGAACAAAAACTTTTCATCGCCTAAGTGCACCTATTTTGACTTAGTGAGACGAATTCAAATTACTGGCAACTTTGATACAACTTTGTTCTTGTCCATTTTGGACGCCGTTCAAGCAAGATCTCTGAAATAAAACTTCAATTTATCCCAGCTAACGGCTAAATATAGTGTGACTGTCAGGAAATACTCTTTAACCATGCATCAAGATGGTTCAAAGTTATCAAAACACGCCCTCCAGCACATTTTAAATTGTCAAAATTCAATAAAAAAGGAAAAAGCAGGGTCGGAGGAGGATGAATATAAAAACGTGTCCATTTTTAAAGGGGTCAGCGGCGTACGATTTTCTTGAAACTTTCAGGAAATATTCGCTAGGTATCAGTGAAAACCAATCAGAAATCAGAACTCGCCCAATACCACTTTTGAAATTATCAAAATTCGTCAAAAAAGAGAAAGCAGCGACAGAGGAGAATAAAAATAGCAATTTGTGCATTTTTGAAATGGTCAGCGGCGTACGATTTTCTTGAAACCTTCAGGAAATACTCGCCAGGTATCAGTAAAAACCAATCAGAAATCAGAACTCGCCCGAAATAACATTTGAAATTGTCAAAATTCATTAAAAAAGAGGAAGGGTTCAAAATAGAAACTTGTCAACTTTTGTAGGGGTCAGCGGCGTAAGACATTTCAGAAATCAGAACTCGCCCGAAATAACATTTGAAATTGTCAAAATTCATTTAAAAAGAGAAAGTCGGGACGGAGAGGTTAAAAATATAAACTTGTCCATTTTTGAGGGGGTCCGCGGCGTACGATTTTTTTGAAACTTTCCATGAATTACCGTCAGGTATCCCTTAACACATTTCAGATATCAGAACACGCCCGAAATAAGATTTGAAATTGTCAAAATTCATCAAAGTTGAGAAAATTGGGGAGGAGAGGATAAAAATATAAATTTGCCCATTCTTGAAGGGGTCCGCGGCGTAGGATTTTTTTGAAACTTTCAGGAAACACTCTACAGGTATCGCTGAAGATATTTCAGTAATCAGAACTCACCCGATTCCACATTTGAAATTGTCAAAATTCATTAAAACTGAGGGTGGGGGGCTAAATAAGACGTTTTTATATTTTTCAAAAGTTCCCGCCGGTCGATTAGCTTGAAAATTTCTGGGAATTATCTAGAAGTGTTACGGAACACATTCCAGTCATTAAATCATGTCCAGCGGCAGCGGGAAAGCTTAAAAATTAAAAAATTTAAATTCTGGGCTGGGCTGGGCTAACTTCCTATACATACTTGCGATGGTGATTAATCAAGACACGCGGAAGGACAGCATCTCATGCTACCATTTCCGCGTTGGGGATGCTGATAAAAGACAAATATTAGCAAGTTTTATTTGGTGTCAACTGCCATCTAAGCAACTTATCTATTCGAAAGAGAATCCCAAACTAATACTATTTAAGCCGTCATGGAGAAGTCTGACGTTCGCCTGTTACGGCGCAAACTATTGCGCAAGCCGTCTTTAAAATTATTAGAGGGCGAATTGACCTTGTAAATGAAGATGACTTTCCGCCAACTTCAGTGTGGGGACGCATTGTCCTTGAACTGTTCCTGCAAAGATTTAATAAACAAGTTAATCGATGGTGGGTAAAAGCGGCATGGGTGTCCAACACACAACAAGTTCGAGCATGGGATGTCACAAGTTTATTGTCTTATCGGAGAATTTATTATCGGAGATAACTTAGTACCTTCATTTTTACAGGATATCTTCAATACTATCTATGAAAAAAGGGAGAAAAGATTATTAGCACTGGCGAAACCACCCAAGACGACATTGAAATTCATTGTATTTGCTAAGTTGTAAGTATGCATATATGTAGCTGTCGTCAAAGTCCCCGACCAAAGACATGATTTATGAGACATGTAATAATTTTTAATTTCTACATACATAAATGTTTAGCGGTACAATGACGAAAATGGGGAGGATAGCTTGTGATACATGTCTCTTGTGGTACCACGGTGTCTGCATGGGAGTCAACGTCAAAAAGTACCAAGGCAGTAAAACCTGGACATGCAACAAGTGCGGGTTAGATAGTACAGTGAGTGAGATCGGTCCCTACTACGGGTACAAGAGAAATTATCCCACGAAGAAATGGGGAGATAAAAGCATCTTTGAGAGACAGGTCGGCTTTATTTTTCATGTTGGGCAGGAATCACGGATGGTGCGATATTTCAAAATGTTTTTGGATTCAGGTATTTACTTCCACGTCTCGTTTCGTTTGGTCTCGCTCAATGCGACAATATTGCGTGAAAGGGAAGCCAACTCTGGTAAAGTTGAGAAACTTCGTTATGCCACCAGCTCATTCAAATTGATTTGACTTGGTGATAGTATTCAAACCATTTTTATTCTGTTTTCAGTCTATTTAATGGTGTATATTTGCCTTTGGGTCTTCGAACATGTGAAATACATTAGGTCACTTATCGCAAGAAGGGTGAGATTAATTTGGGCACGACTTGTGCAGAGCATTCATGATAAGTTGAAGCGTAGAAACAAAATGCGGTGTTGGATTAAGCAACGTGGAGATTAAGTAATGGGAAAAATTGGAAAATCGTGGTTTGAGGGTATCCAATGAAACAATATGCAAACCCAACTTGATGCTACGTTCATGGAGTCTAACGTTGACTGACAGAGTAACCCAAGCATCCAACGCCACGAACGTAGCAACAATTTTCTCACCTGAATTAACTAGCACTTTTTTGTTTAATATCTGCATATGAAAATATAATATTAAAATATAATATTTCCGACAATGAAAGTGCGACTTCTTAATGTTTCCACAATTTTTTAATAGTTCAGTAAATTATTTTAAGGGGTGCAGAGTGTGAAAAAGACCGACGTAAGAAATATTTACAAGCTTGCGCATTTTTAGAATTTATTTATTCAGACCAATAACAATTGTTAAATTAAAACAATTAATAATAAAATGAAAATGTATTCCTTCGATTTATTACTTAATGAAAAATTTCATTTTTTCACCGTCGCATTCAATTGAATTCCGGATCATGGATTCAGAGCCGCTCCTGCAACCCCAGTAGAAAATTGCAACTTAAAAATTTATCTGGACCAACTTATTTTTTTAACCCACCCAGCTCGATCAACCAGTGCAAAGCCTCTAGTCTCGTATACTCCTGAATGGAAAATTATAAATTATTAACAATTTTCAAATTACAAATTTGGCAAATTTGAATCGATTTCACGGCCCAACTTTATACGATAATATTTTTAAGCTCAATTCTAAATAAGTAACATAATGCTGGAAAAAATTACCCCGCCCATTTACCTCCGGAAAAAATGATTTTTTAAATTGTCTTTTTTACCATTCGGTGGGCCGTATCTTTAAAAGTGGACAAAATCTCAAGAAATGCATAAGGGAAAGAATGCTATGTACATATGTACATACATACATATATTACAACCTTACCAAGATAATATTGAATAGACTTATGAAAACATAATGGAAATTTTCGCCGAAAAATGCACCTAAAAATCTATAATCTTTTTCAGATGCTAACCCGTTTAGGCTCGTTAATTACAAATATCAAGTGAAGGAGTTTATGTACTTACGCCATATCCCCAATACATATTAAAGTACGCCCGTGCCCCCTCCCTCAGTAGAATCTCCCTCGTTCTTGATTTCATCTCCTCGTCGAAATCCGCCTTAAATATCGGACCTTGCCGCTCCCACTTGGCGTCATCCCATAGGTCGCCGTTTGTCGTAAAATTTCCTGCCCAAAGGCGGCACGAGCCGAAGACGAGGGAAGTGGTGACATCTGTCGCGAGTGGTTGTCCGCGTCCATCATCAAGACCCTCACTCAGGGTCAAGTTCAGCCACAGGTCGACATTTGAAAAAGTGTGGGCATACGCGCCCGCACCACGGTGTTCAGTCTCAACCGTTCCCCAAATATTGTAGTGGTCGACCCACAAGTCGTATGCGCCTTTACACGATAAAAAATTAATTAACTTGATTAGGGAACGTCCATATATTATGGACGTGATCGAAAAGCTGGGTGGGTAGGTTTTAGTCGAGTATGTATCCTACTCGTATTAAAGTTAACATGAGTACAATAGGGAAACAGTCGGTGGATTCTCAAAGAATCGGCATTTTGTTCACCACGTAATATGCTAATTTACTACCGACAAGTACACACTTCCAAATCCCGTGTGAAAAGTATCCAACGGGATATTCTAATAATTATGACTACCAAACGGGTCAGTAACACGGTGTATTATTCAGTACCTCAGCATCAAAATTTTACCATATCCCTAGAAAATTTTTAATTACCGGGTATAAAAGCTTAGTACCAAGCGGTAGCAATTTTAATACCAAGAAATCAATACAAGCCTGGCTTTACCGAATTTCTAATAGTGTACAATTGAGGTAATTAAATTTTGACTAAAATTTCCAATCGGCGAGCTATGAAATATGTCTGTACATACATACATGCATATGTTAATTTTTCTGATTCTCAATTTTTACCTGTTAAAGACGCCTGTGGAATGACGAGGTGAATATTGGCCTTATACGTGTCGTTGTCCACATGAACCGTGAGGACAGAGTTGGAAAATCCAAAAAGGAGTGGATTACTAAAGAAGACAAAATATTTAATACTTGACATCATATATATATACATTTCCGAATAATTAATTGACTATCGTATTTATTTCTTCAAATATATACAGGACTCGACGACTCATCGCTAAATGCGTCAAGACCAGCACATTTCTCGCTTCTGGGAATTTATTTTAAAATTCGGGACTACAAATTTTATTAAAAACTTACACCCCAGATTTTGATTGTATCTATCAAAATTTGTTGAGAGACAATGCCAAAGTGGTAGACATCTCAAGTTTAGGAAGGCCTCAGAATAACTGAAACTTAATTAAATGAAGTTTCTGCCATTCATCAACTATGTACTAATTTTTCGCCAAGAAATTTGAACAAACAAAATTTCAATAGCGGACAAATTAATTAAAACGTGTTGACTTTGACGATTCTGGTGATGAGTCCCTGAGCCCAACGTTAGGTTCGTATTCACTTACTATGTGTGCGACTCTCCCTCGTATAATAACCATCTATGGTTGTACGTAAAATTGTCCAACGTCATTGGCTCGGGAATCGGGATGGGCTCGTTCTCCAAGGAGGCTTCCAAGTGGGCAAAAAGTAACTGGTAAAATATCTGGTTCACATAGACTGACCTCTCAAAGAACATCTTAACTATGCCCGTTTCTGAAAATAGGATTGAAAACTTTTTTTAAAAATACACAATGTTTTGATAAATTATTAGTTAGCACTTACTTTCACTCTGACCGTGAATTTCGGAGGCTAAAATAACCCCCAATATTAGGACGAGAAGTCCTTTAATGCCTAACATTTTGAAAGTTGGTAACAAATTGGTTAAAATTGACCGGTTGATTTTTGAGTAGTGAAGGCGTGTGTGACAATCCCGGTGATATTTCTCCTTTTATTTGAATCGATCAGACCGATAATCAATTACGTACGATCGCTTTAATGGAATATAAGTGTTCCAATTAATTGAGGCATTTTATGTGTCAAAATGTATTGAAGTTCGTTCAATAGTGAGAAGAAGATTGCAACGATGAAATCCATGACGACTGTATAGATACCATTGGCCGCGGAAAATGATTAGGACCATGGGAACATGTTGGATAACCGACTTACGTCTATCTACACTCTCGCAAGAATTTGCCTCACCTATTTTCAAGGTCACAATTTTTTTTAAATATATTTTAAACAACAATCAATGTTTGGCAGGATAAAATCTGGAACTTTAATAATAGAAATTTGTCATGCAAATTTTGGACAACCAAAATATATGTACGTGGTTATTACGTACAAGATGAAGTACATATTTGCATGACATTTGTAATAAGTTAAATCAATTATCATAATTTCCATGAGGACATTGTCTATGTCCCCACGCTTTCGCGGCCACTGCGCCGTATTAGTACCAGAGTTGTACCATATCCCTGGCATGAGTAGAGATAAGTAGATGACTGTCATTCTGCATAATTTGGTGCAAGATTGGCCATTTGCATGCAAACAACTCTTAATTAATACTACGATAACTAACAAGATATTCGCATACATGTGTATGTACATACGTGTACGTCGTATTTATTAATGGATTCAGGTACCAATGTTCTTATTTACTTCACTTTAATGTATTATCGAACCATTTTAAAATCGTGTTTAATCAGAGGTCGTATTTTTTATCTGTGATTCTGTGTCGTCATACTGCCAATCACAAATGCTGCGCACTTTGTTGCTCCAATTGGAGATGAATTCATTCATATATTGTTAATACTGAGGTATTAAAATTCTGCACATTGACCCATCATAGTTCTCAAACTTTCTGGTATTTATTAACCTTTATGAAAACATACTTAAGAATAAGAATGAAGCGGAAGGTTCATCGATGGGGGACTTTACTGCCTACTGGCGGGCAGAGGTCGCTAGCGTTTGAATTTAATTTGGAAAAGATAAGGTGGTCAAAATTACGTCAAAGCATTGTAATTCTGGGCAATTTTACTGGTCATGGCCCAGATTCGATCTGAATTTTAAGACCGATAATCTTCTCACGAAACAAGGCAGGTACATATGTATGTATGTATATTGTACTCACAAACTGGAGATTATCAGTACACTGTAAAGCATCCGGTAGAGTCACATATGTACTCCGTGTTGGTATTGATTTGATAATAATTCCTTACCGGCTTGGTTATAGTTTGATTCTGAGTGGTATAGATTTCATTACCACCTCATTACTACGGCCTAACGATCGATATTACCGATGCCGGTAGAGTCATATATGTACTCCGTCCGGTAATGATTCGAAATGATTCAATACCAGTTGCCTAAGAGTGTATGGCAAATGGTCAAGAGGTTAAATAGCAGATGAATCTGGCTGGTACGCCAATAAAAAAATTCTCTATTATGTTACTTTTTAAGTTGAAGAGATAAGATTATCGTCGACGTGATGCTTTATTTCGACGCAAGCGATCAGTGGAGACGTGCTACGGATGCAGACAGACTATGCCCAGGAATAAGTTTCCCTAGCGACACCAAAAAATATCCTGACTTTGACTAACTAAACTGTGTACTTGTTCAATACATACATATTTTGTAGGATATATAAATAAATGAGATTTTGAGCATTTTTTCGATTTAGATTCTAACGATTTTTTAGTTTGATGGCGTAATGTACGTGTGTATGGCCATATTTAGCACTAAAACGTGTTAAACAGTAAATATGGAGTGGTCGGGATTTAAAGTGTTAGCAGCATGAAGATTTATTTGTGCAAATAAACTGATTAACAAAATTAGATCCCAGCTTTACTTATTTCGCTGCCTCCTCTCCACAATTAAACCAACACTTGTTAGAAATATTATCCAAGTAATTGATCCAAGTAATGCCCCAAAAATGATAGGATGCTCGATACCCCACGCACTATTCCAAACACGTCTTGTCGCCATCATTGGGGGACTGATGGGATTCAAATACATACAAATCCAGCGATACGGCTTCGTCACAGAGTCCAAAGGCCAAGAAAATCCTACATGTGTCATAATTTAAACTATTTAAGTCCCCTTATCACTTTACTCCTACGCATTGTAAGTTCTCTCACCGCAGGAATAAACCGTCGTTAACATGACGAGTCCCATAACCATTATGACTTCCATACTGCGAGACAAAACCGTGGCGACTAGTAGCCCTACAAATTCTCAATTAGATTTGAATAATATTTATCAAATAAAGTAATTCATTAAAAACGAAAATTCCAAGCATACCAGTCGAAATTGCAACCCAACCAGATAAGAACGCAATTACGAAACACAACCAAAAGGACCCCTTATTCGTATATTCCCCAAAGAGGAAACGACTCATAAAGACAATTCCAATTTGTCCCAACATAATAAGAACTTCGGATAAGTAATAGGACACATAGACATGCCATAATTCTACTCCACATGCCTGTGATCTTTTAAGGGTCCCATCCTCCTTATCCTGAATCAAGGCTAATGAGCAACCCACCGAGTAGAAAAATATCATTCTGAAAAAAAATGAATCTATTTTTCTTCAAAATATGTATTTACCAAAATACCAATAACCCATAGAAAAAGTTCGTTACAGCGGAATATTCCCAGGTAGAAAGTAATCCTTCCATTCGCCCCGATCACTGGTCGAGTTATCATTATTGAACTAAAATTCAGAATAGATTTGGTCATTTTTTCATTATTTAAAATTGACCAAGGAAATAATTTGATTTTTTTTACCCTGAGTGGAGTACGAATTTGTCGTAAATCCATATGTGCATTAATTCGTGATACCATCTTTTCCATAAATTTTGAATATTTTCCTTGTAGCGTTTCTAATAAGAAAGTTGTTATTTTATCTGCAAATATTTTGTTGGCAGCATAATTATTAAAATTTTGGTACGGTACGATTCGCTGGGGTACTTTATTAGGAAACTTGTTTACTCGTCATATCCAGTGAAATTTGCACTGTGCTTCCAGCCAAAGTCTCACTTGTAGCGAACCGATGGAGAACCAATCTATTGAAATTATGCTGGGAAAAATTTCGCGGAAAATGTATGAATCCAAGCGTATCTCCTATTTCGACCGAATGTCTTGCCGCTTCCTTGGATTCGTAGACTTTCTACATAAGAATTATAGACGTTTTATAATTATATTATTATATAAATATAGTTTTTTTGACTGGTTTTGTTGAGGGTACTCACTATTCCTGCGTAGCCTAGTCTCGTAAAATACTAAGCAAAAGAGGTTTCGCAAAAATCGTAAAGAGATCATTGATGACAAAAGAATAAGACGCTTATAAAATCGCGTAACCGTAGTAGCTTATACAAAATGAAGAATACTAAGGATACGAAGAAATAATGAATACCCTCAAGTGAATAAATTCTGCTTTGTTTCTGCATATCTATTCATACCAGAATAATCTTTTGCTCCGCGTCGTTCATGACATCTTCTAAGAAACCGCAACTCCAGGGATACTCAAATCGTGCTCTTATGGATAACCCAACCCCAGGATGACAAATTCCGTCTTGGTTTGACACGGCTAAAATTTGTCCAACAGGATCCCTTCCCCACGTGTACAATATAATAATTGAGTGTATTAAGGGTAGCAATAGTGCCATTAAGATATATCTATAATTAATTAATTATATATCTAATTTATTTGACAACCTATGTAATTAGGTTTCGACAAATTTTATTTACAGTTATAATTTTGACTTACGAAGGAATTCTATAACTCATTAACAAATTGCGTTTTGTCAGCGCCTTAATTTTGGTTAGACTTCCCGAAAACTGAGCCAGTTGCCGAACTAATCTTTCTTTGGGGTTGTCTTTCCTTGAAACGAATTCGTTATCATTTTTAGAGAAACATTTTGAATATTCCAATTTCTTGTAGGAGATTAATTCAACAGTTTTCAAAGAATCCGTGTTAAGCTTATCGTCCAATTTTTTGTAAGATGCAATTGGTTCGAAGCTATTCATATTTGATTCATCGTTAATTTTGCAAAGGTTTAATAGTACGTCGTCCAAGCGATTTCCCCCGTGCATATGGATTAGATTGTTTGGGGAATCATCTCCAATTAACCGACCTTTCCGCATTATTCCAATCTTTTCAAATCGAGTTATAAATGAAAGGCAGGCAATTAAAAAACTACTTAAAATAATTAAGGGAGGATTGCAATGCACAAACCTTATTAAATCGTCGCGCTTCTTCGGTGTAATGTGTCGTTACAATAATTGTGGTCCCCTTTGTAGCTGTCAAACTACACAAATAATCCCATATCGATTCCCTTAACAAAGGATCGATCCCAACGGTTGGTTCACTTAAATTTCAAAATCTAAAATTATTAGGGCATTATTAAATCATTAGAATTAAATCAAAAATTTACTCCAAAACCAGTAATTTTGGGTGATTAATCAAAGCAACTCCTAGTGATACACGGCGACGTTGCCCCCCGCTGCACATATTAAACAAAGGGTGCAATTTAAGTGTTTTCTAATTTAGAATACTTAATTAATTAACTCACCTGAGCGAGGAAACACATGGACCTAAATCATTTAAATCTAATACGAGTTTAGGTTCTTTACTTCGAGTTAATATTTCTAGATCCGTTAGTCCCAATAGTTTTCCAAAATACTGAAAAATCTCACGTATCTTCAAGGGATACAAGGCGGCATCCTAACATAAGACATACATACAGTCAATGTAACAAGTATAGGCAACACCCACGCAAGCTAAATATAATTGGCTATAACATTGGCATGCATTATCAAATTAGCATAAAAATTTGTACGCATTTAGCAAATCTAATGTAGTTTTCGATTATGTCATGTTTTATTGATTAAAATTAGATAAACGCCGATTTTAACTAATTTGTGGGAAAATATGCAAAATTAACACGCAAAAAGTATTGGCACCCTATAACTTAAAAAATCATAGAGCAAAGAAACGCCAATTTTACTGCGACAATCTGCTTCTAGTATTACGTGGCACCTCCCCTCGACGAGCAGAAATAAGAGCAGAAATAGGCCATGGAATTTATTCGACAAGTTCCTATATAACGTTTTTTATATGGCTGCCCACACTTGTATCGAAGACCTGAGGCATGTGACCAATATTTACAGACTTGGTTCCAGGAGTCCTACCCATTACTGAAATATAGCCAGAATCCAATCTGGTTAATCCCAAAATGCAATTAAGTAGCGTTGTCTTCCTGAAAAGAAAAACATTTTCGTGCTTGTTTAAATAATTTGGAAAAAAGATAGATTGCTCCATGCGTTCGAAAGCTGATGCGGACGGAACAATAGTAACGGTACATTTAACGATTATTTGATTTAATGATGTGTTTTATATATTTATGCAGTTTATTATTATGAGTGAAAATTTGATACTTGGATTTAGGGTAGAGAGCTCAACCTCTCCTTCCTAAGCGAGATAATGCGCTCACGAGCATCTACACGGAGTACTTCGTCGGGCAAGGATCTCTTGTATGTAGCTCCAAGTTTACTTAATAACTTAATAACTTTACTTACTAGAGAAACTATACATGATTTGTTCAAACCATAGTGGGAGCGAACAGAAATTTGGCAGATGCAATTATTATCGTGTCTTGGTACTCATGGGTACGCCTAGTGTTTACACTTTCTAAATACAGCACTCGTATATTTCCGTTATTAAAATCTCGGTAGGATGCCTTGCACCTAGCCGGCTAAATCTCTGCAGGCCGCTGCATTAACTCATTGCTACATAATTCCCCTTCGCCGATTTTGCAAGTCACCGAAAGGTCAACGGCCAGATTTCTTACCACTTCAAAATGAGAGCCAAAAAATAAAACTTCATGGATAATGTTTATGTCTTTCTAATATTTTTTTATGAGATGCTGCAATGCATCACGAAAAAATAGCTATGATACGACCTTGTATGATTTTTTGACGCGCACAGAAAATTTTCGTCCAGGACAGGTTTGAGGTCTAAATCGTGACTGTGGCGAAACTCAAAAAATTTAAATATACATAAAAAAGAACATAGACTGTATACATAAGTCTTATATTAAAATAAAATAATAGGTCCCTTTGCGCACGCTCTAGTAGAAACGAATTAAGTAATACCCGCATCCACTAGATCCGAGAAGTCCGTAACTGAAATTACCCCAAAAAATAATATGTATCAAATTTAAAAATATCAATTAAAAATATTCGTTCACGCATTTTAATAATACGGAACTTATGTATTTAGCCTGTATTGGGATTTGCCGAGTGCGACTTGTGGATGATGCCCACAACTGGATACTTACTTTACTTAACTATGTATTTTGCAAAACGTGAATTGTACTGACATTATGAGCAACTTCGCACCACCACAAAACTTTCTTGAGAATATGAATTGCACTTTTGGGATTTTAAAGCACACGTCTCCGGTTACGTTGTTAAAAATCCCTTTTAATGTTTGAACATTAAGATCTTGTAACTGTATGAAACTTTGTCATGTAAGTCGTAATAGTAATAATCATGCTGTTAACTTGTCACATTGTCAAAGTGGCTAGTTATACTCATTGATCGAAATTGGTAATATTTGTTGTTTTGGAAAGTGAAGTCTTGATATGTAACCCGTTATACTAAATGATGTAAACTTTTCTTGTTGTGCTCTATGGGCCAGAGGACTAAAAGAGTGGTGGAATAAATAAATCAAATCAATCAATCAATAAACAATACGGAACTTACAGAGTACCCCTCTCAACATGCATCGATAACCCTGACAAAACAGGGAATCCGTCCTTATATGATTTATACGCAGACGACATTTTAACCGCCTCATTTGAACTCATCGCTTCAAACACCTTAAAACTCAACCCAATTTAACTTGAAAAATTGAAGCAGACAAATAATAAATTCACCGTTGCCCGTAAACCAACAATGTCGGACTAACAAGGCATTCCGTTTAAACGTGAATAATTGTGCTAGTAGTTTTCCATCGCTAATAGTGGGAAAAAATTTTATATGAGAGGGAGCAAGTACCCAACTTCTTGTATAGCTATGGAAGCAAATAAAACATAAATAAATTTCTATTGTGATAGGATTTATCTTGACAACTTCACAATTCTGGTTACAATCAGGTACAAATACCTTGACGAATTCCTGGAAAAACCGATTTTGCCATTTCCCCATTCTATTACATGTTTTGACACGATACCCATTGGGTTATCCCGAACCTACAACTGTGCACCTGAAATGACTCCCTATATATGTACACACTGAGAATTTTATGTTTTTTTTACTATTGTTCTTTCCATGAAATCATATTACATAAATTTATTTCGAAAAAGCTAAACGACCCGCGCCGTACATATGTAAGTGTCCGTATCTGAATATTTAAAAAAATTCTTCTAATTGGTGTAGTATTTGTATAGTATACGTATTCTCCTTTATTATATAGATTTCACATTGTTGCCTGATAGGCTATATATTTTATAAGGATGACAAGGTACTTCTTTTTCACATGAGTACAATGGATTAGATCTACTAATACATAATAAGTATGATAAATAGCTCATGAGATAACCAGAAAATGTCCAACACTCTAAATAAAAGTTGACACAACAATTTGGTAAAATTTATCCAACTTGTATAAATTTTATTCAACCGTTGGATAAATTTTATTCAACTTTTATTTAGAGTGACCCATTCAAAATGCATGCATACATGGATGTATTACGTTAACGAGTATGAACCCTTAATTCATAACAATTTACTATTAAATTTGATAAGAATTACTAATCTTTTCTGAGAAATTAGGTTGCTTTTATTTTCAACTTGTTTTATTGTAATGTATTTACTTCTCAGAAATGTACTTCCCAGTGGTTGATCCCGTTCAGGTGAGAATATCTCCAGAATATCCGGGGATTTCGGAATAGAGCCAATTTTGGCAGTATTTTTTTTATGCATATAATGTAACCAAAAAATCAAATATGTACTAATCAATCAACATTAAAGCTGACGCCATGTTTTTCCCGAGTAAATCCTTCTACCAAAATACCCAAGTCTGTTATTATAAAATCATACCTGTTCAATAATTCTGTTCTTATGCACTTGATATAAGAAGCAACAATGTATAAATTCCCAGAAATTGAATTCTGGCCAAGTTTTCTCCGTAAAGTGGATGTAGGCATGGCTGCTTTCCCACATCATGAAATCTGAGAGTCGCTGGTCACCCCCAGTTCGGATTAGTAGGTCAATAGTTCTCAAGTCCACTAAATGCTGAGATTGTTCTATCAAATGCTCATTCCACTTTGGGAATGATTCAGAGGAATTACAGCTCGCTTCATTGTCCTCGTCATGAAAAGAGCTTAGGCTCCTAAGAATCCCTTCCCGACCTAAATATGTAAATTTAATAAATTAGATATCCGAAGGGTAACGTGTTTAAATATTTATTTTCCCTCACCAGTATACCCTACAGCCAAATTTAATTTGTAAGGGGTCAAATGTCGCGTCCTTGCCATTAAGCTTGCCATTCTATGTTTTAATTTGAGCGGAAATTTTTCCCAATTTCCAATCATTTGTATGCAGGTGTCCCGATTACTGCCGGCTTCTCTGCAGGTTTAAATTCTAGATATTTAATAAGACCAACTCCCAAGGTATGCTATCCCGGAGTTTGGGGTATTGAGGTTTTATGAGTGGTAGACGGGGTTTTCAAATTTAACAAAGCATGATAGAAGGGCATTACTAACAATGCTACAAATTTAGTAGTTACTAAATTGAATTAATAAGCAGCTATATATTTTGCAAAATAACTTAAAAATTTTTTTTCTCAACTTACTACATGTGAAACTATGATAACTCAGTTTACCCCAAAACCGTACTACCCTAATTACCAGTAAAATCCAGGTAAACCTGTGAGTATTGGTTTTCAATATCAAAACCCCAGGATTTCCCTACCAACCAAGGAATCATTAATAAGATTGGGTAATCGGATTTATCCGATTACCCAATCTCAATCAGCAATCAATCATTGCACAATCACTTATTAAAACGTACACTTCTTGCAGCATTGTGGTGAATTTGCGATACATTAAATCCATTAAAGCGTCAACTTCTTGGGTTGTCCGCTTGTAATTTTCGGATGAGAAGACATACAAAGTTAATTCCTTGCACCCAAGTGCTCTCCACCACCAAAGCATGAAGGAGTCCGGCTCTGAAAAATTTGCAACATTTAGATGAACTTCACCTGGGATAAATAAATTCAAAATATTAGTGTTGAAGACGGTTTAAAATATTGATTACCCAGCTTCGTGACCATACAATGTTTTCATTCCTCTACTGGCTGCGTAGCGACGATTTCTAATAAACAATTCCACCCATACAAAATTTTAGGCGTGCAGGTGTTTAAGCCATTCACTCATGACACTCGGGACGGATTTTTCTCTATAAGTGTCGAGTTCTTCCCTTTATTTGAAATTACACCCTGACCCTGACTGGATAGCACTGTTAACAGTGCGATGGTGTGAGGTGTAACCCTTCGATTTGGTCGAAATTTAAAATTACATATAAGGTCCAAGCCCATACAACAAATGTTTCTTCAGGCAGTTTGTGCGATGGTTGGAATTAGGTTGAGTCAAAGTTGAGAAATGGGGGCTATTTTTACTCAGTTGAGGAAGAAAAAATCCCACCCCATTTCCTCCGAAGGGATAGATTACCAATTTTCTAACTTGGACTTCAAATATTTTGACTAATTCCGACCATAGCTCAAACTGATGCAGGATTTTTGAGTCAAGAAACGTTTGAATTTTGAATTTTAAAATTTCCACCAAATCGAAAGGTTGCTCTTCACACCATCGCATTGTAAGTGTAGCAAGTTGGAGTGTTTCTTAAAATAAGTTGCAAAAAATATTTAAGTTTCTTTCTTTCTTTCTCTCGTTGACTGTCATAACGTTCAGGTGAAAAATCGGTCCTGAGTACTAGGCTATAATTAGTACGCAAACGAAGAGTAGTGAATGCATGTAAGTATGTAATACCCATCCATTATGATGGCGATATGCTGCGGGATTGGTCCCATCCGGGCGATTGAGGCTGCCAATAATTGAAGGTACGACATGCAATTATCGCTCTTCATTTTAAAAGAGTCGCTTATTCTTATTGCCCCTGTGACTCAAATAAATGTTACGAGTGAACTGAGTTATTGCTGAAAAAGAGGTCATTTTATAGGATTAGGCGATACTTACTTGCTTAGTTGTGATTACCCACATGTGATTGTGAGGTCCTTCAGCAGATAAGATAAGATAAAAACCTATATTTTTTAAGAACCTATATTTTTAATTGCACCACAATATTATTGCTCAAAAAATAATAATTTATGCATATGATCCTGTTCTGCTTTACATGGCTCATATCCAAGACGGATGAACTCGACGTACTTACTCGAAGGCCATGCTAACATAAATTTCAGTAAGGTACAAATATTTCTGGGAACCCGACAAAAAGAGGGCAAAGATTGATTTGCACTAAATGTATTCCAGGTTAATGGGCTTGTACAAGGTAAATCCGTAGGATTGAGTCAATAAGATACCCGTCTGGGCCATCCCCAACCTACATACTACCCCATCACTCGATAATACTTCACATTAGGGAATTAATTATTCAAATACCTATTTACTCAACACTACTCAACAGAATTATATCTGCATTCGCCTTAATTAATCTTCACTTTGTTAATTACGCAATTTGCATATATGATAAGGATGGCAAGGTATTTCCCATCAGGAATATTTGACACAATCATATATGGTAATTTGCTTATAACTTTATTAAAACTAACTTTATATCATACGTACCTTCCGTGAGAACTCAAACTGCATAACTTACAATGGAGTTCTAACAAAGTGCGGTCAAAGATTTTGAGCAAACAGATGTCAAGCTATCCCAATTTTCTTGATACCATCTTCTTGGCGAAGTCATTTGCATTAAAAGATTACAAAACGCTCTGTATATTTATGAATGTAAAATTTGTTCATATTTGAAAAACAAATCGTATTCATTTGAACACTTTTGTGCATTTTGGACAATTTGGACGATGATTAGAACCATAGCTAAACCATGTCTCCACCTAATGTTGCGAGATGTTGGAATCTGTCAAGGTCAAAGCAAAAAAACTGTACCGGGGCGGTTATTAAAACATTGATAAAAGTAGCTTTGAGTCACTAAAATTTGAACAACTTTTTCAACTGTGATTTTGGCACGGAAATTATTGTGTATTGTTTCTAACCGATACAGGGTTCATTACATGCGTATTTACAGTGGGATAGCTGAACTCTCCAACCATCTAAATAGCATCCCTATTAGCTGACGCTAATCTGCGATAGCCACCTTACACCTTCTCATTGTAGTGTACATACCTCCATTGAGAACTCAAACTGCATAGTATTTATGTCATGAGATTTTGACGGGTAGAATGGAGGACATTTTAAGGTTTATTGTTGCATACTATTTAGCTTATTTATGTAATTGATCATACAGACATAAAACAAATTAAGGTATGTACATATAATAAATATTTGTGAGCTACATATATATTATGCATCGTGTAAAGATTGGACTGAGATTGGACCATGCACTCTGGATGTATGCATGGACATACATACATACTTATATATGCATATATGTATTAAGATATCCGCTATGATAAGCCAACAGAATAGAACCTAATAACACCTCAGTCATCTACCTGATGCTGATAACTTAGCACATACATACAAATACATACATAAATATTTCAACGAAGTAGTAATTTTGCTTTCCGTTTGCTTAGGTAAATATTTAGATGCGAATATATAATTTGCAGCTTGCTATTAACCATCCAATCCAAATCTGTCATCAGGTCATTTCATTCAAGTTGACTTCATCAAAGGTACATACATATAATTACAATAAGCCCAATTTTAATACATTAATTGCAGAAATCTTGAAAAAATTTCCATGTTTTAGAGCAGCAATGCCTCCCAACATGCCACACGTCACTGCTACGAAGTACCCTGGCCACACCACGGATAGCAAATTTTTCCGCGAATTGCTCTAAGAAGCTTCAATAACGGATGGAAACGGCCCCACCTTAATTAAACCGTTTTTAAATAAGGATTAAATTGAAGATTTCCTCATTGTTTTACAATAGAATTTATGTTAACATCGCAAGGTCATATTTACGATGTGACATAATCTGATTAATGCGTAACATTTAATTCATGTAAGTTTGTTTTCAAGATATGTGCACAATTAAATTAAATGGACCATCGACCCTACTTATTACTCAATAATAGTGCCCAACGACCCTATTCTCTCTGCCAACTTAGCAGTTATTAAAATATTAAAAGTTGCAGGTGCATTGAAATAAAATAAACAAATAAAAACATTTTCAAATTTGATCACCAAATTTTATACCAACGAAGCCATGGATGGTAAAAATCATGCCAAAATATTTCTAAAAGAGAAGGAAACCTTGTATACTTATTAAAGGGTGTCCCGGATATAGATTAAAGGATATAAATGAGACGATAACTTTTAGAACCGCGAAACCAGAAAATTTAAATTTATGTAATTCGAAGGACAAATACTTATGGCCAAAGTGACCAAAGTTTGAAAAACGCCTCAAGTCTATTAATGAAATGCGGGGCTGTTAAAATGAGAACTCGAAAAGCGTATGTTTCACTACCCCAAAAATGTGCCTAGGCGAAATAAGAAAAAAATGCAGGACAATTTAACTGCTGAAATGACGTCAGAATTGGCAATCTATCACATTATTACAAGGTATAGGGAAACTGCTGAAGTAAAATTTAGATACATTTCGAGCCACACCCTCGTGAAATCCTCCCCCACAGGGGTACGTTTGGTTTGTACAACTTTTACCAAGCATGCTACCAAATTCGTTAATAATGCTGCTCAATGGTTGGAAATGGATACTTCTACAGTGTTCCGAATTGAAGCCCATAAACTAGGCTTCAAAACTCACACAAACAAGAAATCCCCAAATTATGCCAATGGCCAATAAAAATAAACAAAAACTGGTTTCTGGAAAGTGCACAAAAAATACTTGGAGAAATTGCTGATCATTGAAGATGAAACTTTGGTCACATTTGGCCTATCTAAATCTACGGGAACCAAGTTTTTCAGTGCATCAGATCATAATGGAGTGGATTATGAACAGAAATGGAAGAAAATATCAAAATCTCTCGAAGATGCTTTAATTTTTCTAGCGAAGGACGAGTTTGGGAGTATTCGGGAACCTCACAATGCAAGAATGACTACACAAACAATATGTATGTAGATGTTGGCTTAATGTTTTTCTTTGTATTTAGGCAAACTTCCGTGTGAACTAGAAATAATATATTTAATTCCATCTCATCTTCACTTGTGTGCATTAGTATCTATGTTAATGAAATGGATTTATGTAATAATTAAGACACAAACTCTTGTCTTGCTGGTCGACTTCACACTTGAGGTACTTTCCATTTTATTTGCAAGCTGCATTGTTTGACATCCTGCTAAGTTAAGTGACTTCGTACCAATATTTATAATTTCAAAATGTCTACCATTTATTTATACATATTGGTTTTATTCCGATTTAGTTTTTACAATTTGCTCGCTTCATTAACCATTTTGTCAGATCCCGATTTTTAAAGTTTGGACAAATTTTCAGATATATTACAGGTAAGGTGCATTGCAATTGTGACAATTAAAAGCGAATTTTGCTAAAGCGGTAAATGGAAAGTTGAACATATGTAGACTTCCACAAAAACCTCGTTATTAGAACAAACGAAGAATATTAACTGGAAATTAATTCGCTCTGTTGAATTTCGGATAATGATGAGGTACGCAATTTACAACCTTAACGAGGTTCTCGGCTCGTCCTTCGTATGTATGTAGATTTATAGAATAAATCATCCGCGTGTACCTACATAAGTATCAACTAACTTGGAATATAAACCCATTGACCTAGCTCGTGCACCAATGCAAATATACAAATATACTGAAATTCCGCAAAAGTTGTGAATTGTTTATCTCGTCATTAGAAAAAATTCAACAGAGCGAATTAGCAACAATATTGCTTGCTACGGACGAAAGGTAAGCCGGGAATTCCGTAAATATTGGAAATTGCGTACCTCATCATTATCCGAAATTCAACAGTGCGAATTAATCTCCAGATCCAGCTTCCTGTACTGATAATGCAGTAGTTGGGTACCCTGTTGATAATGAAATTTGCTTGTAATTTTCACAATTGCAATGCACCTGACCAGAAAAATATCATAACAAAATAATATTGAGAATATATCGACTAACAAATGCATTAGTTGGAAATTTTATGAGCGAATTACATCTTTAAGCTTTATGCTAAATTTGAAAGATTAAAATTGAATAAAATAAACATGCATAAAACATAATATTAAATCGGAAGTTATAAGTATTCATACAAAGTATGTACCTGAAGTGTGAGATCGACCAGAACTCCTTTCTTAAATTCAAATTTGCTTCCATGCACTGGTTTGAGACTCAAAACAGTAACCGACGACAAAATCACGTGGTCCTAATAAATATGGTTCACGCCGTGAACTTCACGGTCATGCATTTCTTCTAAAGACGTGGAATCATATAAAAACTATACAATTTATTCATGCATTTCTTTCATTCAATGTTAATTTTAAAAAAATAGTCATTTCGCTGACAAAATTTTCAAGTCAGACAATTTATGAAATTATGAAAGTTAAAAGCACATTTTTTTCAAAGTCATCAATGAAAGTTTAAACTAATGTGGGGTGCCCGGCCACCTCATTATAACTACAATGAAATTTATCTGGAGATTGATTCGCTCTGCTAGTGATTATCTTGATAAACAATTTACAACCTGTGAGGAATTTCCGTTTCACCTTTGTATGCATATAAGTTTAAAGATTAAGTCACCCAAGTGCATACTAAAAAATCCACTAACTTGGCATATAAACCTACTGGCATGACTCTTCCACCAATGCAAACATACATTTTTCAGTAGTCATGCATCATGCTGCCCACTACAGATTGGGTACCAAAGGTTTCTCCAGTTTTTGTCACATTTAGGTCTAAATATGTTTTAATTTGTTTAAGTCAATTGTACTCAAAACTCAAATATACTACATTTACATGTGTATACACGTTCACGCTTATATTTTATTAATAATTAGAACTCCTCGAATTCAAGGATGCGGCCAGACATTCGGTCGAAAGACGAAATACGATTGGATTCATACATTTTTTCAGAAATTTTTCCCAGCAAAGTTTAAATAGGTTGGCTTTGCAACGGTTCGCTAGATACAAGTGTAGATTTGGCTGGAAGTACGGTGCAACTTATGATAGTCGATATGACAAGTGGATAAGTTTTGAAATAAAGTCGTTACCGATACCTATCAAAGTTTGAATACTTTTTATGCATGACAGAATGAAGGAAAATCAGAATGAATTAATTTATTACTATGCTCAGGATGGTACAATTATATAAGTTAGCATGAGTCCAGATTAGGGTATTAAATTTTATACAAAATGTGCACATATGTAGAAAGTCTAGCTGATCAGTTTCCAGCAGGTTCCTTGTCTACTTGTGCTTCCGACCTTCTGCCAATAGCACAATCAAAATGCAGACTAACGTCCATCCAAGAGAAATCACGAAACCCCTCGTCACATAAAAGTTTTCCAAACCCCACCCCCTCGATACGATGGACCTCAATGCCTCGTTCGGGTAGGTGGCAGGGAGCCAGTGACTAAAGTATTGGCGAAAATAGTAAGGCGTCAACTCCAACGCGAAAAACAGGCCTGCAAAAACCCAAACATAATCACCCCAATGCCAAGATGGTACTAGGACCAGGATAACAATTTGTATATTTTTCTGCTTATGAGTACACTCGTAAAAATAATGTTACCCTTTTAAAAAGGGCATGCTCTTTCAACTAAATATTATATATAAGTTATACAAATCCAGCATAACGTTAGCTAAGCTAACTTAGCTTGATTAAGAATAAACCGTAGTAACGTTAGAAGTAGCTCACCCTGCAATATAAATTAGGATGTATATCATTTTGCACCAATGGTGCCGAATAAGTGCACACAATAAGTATAAAACTCTATAATTTGATTCTAATGGTGCATTATAATCGGAATATGTAGGTGTAGAATTTTGAGATTTTTTGCATCAATAGTGTATCATAAGGCGACAAAATAAGGTTCATAATGATTTAGACATAACTTTGCACCAAAGGTGCGGAATACGCCGACAAAAGAGATCATAATGTTTAAATATTCATGCATCAAGGGTGCAATATAAACGGAAAAATGATGAAAAGGTCGAAGTAGTATGCACCACCTGCGCCGCATTAGCGACCAACCGGCATCCATAAGTTTGAAAACTTTATGTCAAAATGATATGATTATTTCTTCCGGATATTCTGCACTATTGGTGCATTTTGTGTCCCTTCCCCCAATTATTTCGCACCATTTTGTGTTACCGATTATTAGATACTAACACTGCTATTAATTTATCAAAAAATACACCTGGTACATTTTAATTAGCATCAATTGATGCAAAAAACTCGTGAACAGACAGACGGACAGACGGACGGACGGACAAGAGGAACTCAATAGCTCTCGTGCTACGCAGGCTATTATTGCATGGTTCTACACAACTTGTGTAGAACCATGCAATAATTGTTAACTAATGGTGCAAAATAAATGGTGAAAATTGATACATAAGTTAAAGTTTGCACTAATGGTGCAGCAGAAATGGGGAAAATTGGTGCATAATTTTGACATGATTTCGAGGTTTTCGAGGGTGCAAATGAACGCAAAAGACCTACGAACAACATGCCCCATCAGGGTGAGCTAATAATAAACCGTAGTAACGTTAGAAGTAGCTCACCCTGTAATAATGATTTGGTTTTACTTGCCCCAAAGGTGCAGAAAAACGCAACAAAGTTGATCAATAATGTTTATCAATATTGCACCAATGGTGCAGAAAAATTAAACAATATAGCTCAATAATTATTATGCATCGAGGAAAGTCCAAAAATTGTGCATCACTGGTGCAGAATTACCTACCAACGATCATCGCTAATTTTGAAAAATTTATGTCAAAATTGTCTAATAAAATCCGCCGAGTAGTATGCATTATTGGTGCGTTATGCATCAAAGCCCCCAATTCTTTCGCATCATTTGGTGTTTCCGATTGTCAGATACCAACGGTGCTATTAATTTATGAAAAAATGGAGCAGGGAGTTATTAATATGCATCAATTAATGCAAAAACTCGTCAACAGACAGACGGACGGACGGACAGACGGACGGACGGACGGACACGAGGAATTCAATAGCTCTCGTGCTACGCAGGGCGAGCTAATAACGAATACCCTCATTATTTCTAAGAGTGCTAACATGGTCTCAAGTAGACCCTCTCTCTTATTAGCTCACCCTGCGTAGCACGGGAGCTATTGAATTCCTCTTGTCCGTCTGTCTGTTAACGACCTTTTTGCATCAATTGATGCTAATTAAACAGCCCCTTGACCATTATTGGATACGTTAGGCGCACCATTGGTACTAAATAAACCGAATCAAACTTTTTAACAAGTTAATAGGACCATTGATATCTAACAATCGGGAACACAAAATGATGCGAAATAATTGGAGGCAGGGACGCAAAACGCACCAATAGTGCAGAATATCCGGGAGAAATGATCATACAATTTTGACAAAGTTTTCAAAATTATGGATCCCGCATGGTCACTAATGCTGCACTAATGGTGCAAAGCCTGCCCGGATATGTTGGACCGTGGGTGCAAAAATTATTCTTGAAGAATATATAAGAGTTATGATCTATTTTGTCGGCTTATTCCGCACCTTGGATGCAAAGTTCTGTCTCAATCATTATGACAGGGTGAGCTACTTCTAACGTTACTACGGTTTATTTAACTTAATATGGAATTCAGAGCACCTACTCATGCATATCTTCATGCATTTACTCTACAAAAAGGGTAATATTTTTTTTGGAAAGTGCATGACTGCAAACAAATTTGAAATACACCCACCAGATGCTGAAGCCTGAGTACTGAAAAGGCACAGAACCAGGATTATCGCTTCGAGCGCATCATCTCGCAAAGTTCCAATCGTCCAACCTGCAAAAAATAGTTACAAACACTTTTTTTTTACATTTAAATGAACTTTTTCAAAAACATACACAACAAAGTTTTGAGCGACCAAAGTCCTAAATAATTTATTTAGTTTTATATTTATCGCCTTACCGATCGCCAGTCCTTCAACGGACACTAAGAATAGAAGCGCCAACATGAGCGCCCACGACCCTTGGACACGCATCCCATACCCCACCGTCAGCAAAGTGACGAAAACTATAAGTTGGACGACAATCTTGATCGAGTCCGTCACCATGGAGGCAACGATGCGATGTCGCAACGTCACGCCGGCCGCATAATCGCGATCTTCCAATCCTTCAAATCGATCCACGATCCATACCACACCGACCGAGTGAGATAGGAACATCATCATCCTATCGAAACCGTTAAATGCTAAATATTTTACAGTTTTCCAAAACAATACTTCGGTTCTTTCGGATTTGCCACATTTTTTACACTGCCAAACAAGAAAGGTCAGAAATGCAAGGTACAAGTGTATCGACGGAAAGTAGTTTCCTGTGGTTTTCATTGTTTGCGGATAAAAATAAGCTTGAATAGCACTTTTTTTTCCTCATACTCTACTTCCCATTTTTCATGAGTTGTTACATAGAGAGTACCTAACTATGTGGTGGGGGGACCCCAAGGTGCAGCTACTAGTCCGCACTCCCCCACCACGCACTGTGAGGGGGCCCCGACCCCATACGATTGCGACACAGACTGGAAAAACCCATTCGGGAAAACCCGCTGCCACCAGGATTCGAATCCTAGCCCATTTGGTTCGCAACCGTGCTCTCTAGCCATTAGGCTATCGACTCACATTCTATCTTGTGATGATTTGTTGCTTAAACCCTTGACATTATTTTGCGAATCAGAATTTCGTAATACTTAAAATGCGATGACGCCAGTGGTCTCGCTCCAATTTTGACGAAACGACGATAATTATGTAGCCTTAGATAAATAATTAGACACGTGTTTCAGGATTTTTCATAATGCTCAGCTTAAACGAAATTATGACGAAATCCGTGAGAGAGAATTCCCATTTTCACGGTGACATTTTTCTCGGAAGGGAGAAAAATGCAGATTCTCCTTTACGAATTCTATCATAATTTCGTTGAAGCTTAAAATGCTTGGGCATGAAGTGTTTTTTTCGACTTTATATTGCTTGCAAAAATTTTGAAATCTTGAATATTTTTGAAAATTTCTGAAAACTTTAAAAAATTTTGAAAATTTTAAAAATTTTTGAAAAATGCAACAAACGAAAATCGTAGAAAACCACGTCAGGCCCACGCATTTTAAGCTTCAACGAAATTATGATAGAATTCGTAAAGGAGAATCTGCATTTTTCTCCCTTCCGAGAAAAATGTCACCGTGAAAATTGGAATTCTCGCTCGCGGATTTCGTCATAATTTCGTTTAAGCTGAGCATTATGAAAAATCTTGAAACACGTGTATAATTATTTATCTAAGGCTACATAATTATCGTCGTTTCGTCAAAATCGGAGCGAGACCGCTAGCGTCATCGCATTGTTAGTAGGGAATATTAAGGAAATAAATACACTGAAATTTATATAAACTCACACGACTAGAATAGCCGGCTCGGAAAATCGAATGATGCTCTCAACCCCCAAACCGCCATAGATCGCGTTTAACTGTGAAACCCAAAAGAAAAATGGTTACCAAAAATGCATCTCCAGTTTTTGAAGCCATCACTTAATTCCGATTGTTAGTTTTAATCCCTTCTATGCTCACGTCAACTGGTGGCTCGGCTAATGCTTCACTGACGCCGCATGCCGCAGCCATAGCTCCAACGTATTTCAGGTAGTTGGTCCCAAGCAAATACTTTATCCAGGTCGCAGTTATGATATCTATTTAAAAATGTTGCATTAGTAAATGTAATCGCACTTCAGCCTAAGCTGAGAGATATGTACATATGTCCACTCTTAGAAAACTGGTATTCAATTATTATGGTTACGGTTTTGGCTCAGGTCACCTAGGGGTCGCCCATACTGGACGACCGGGGTAACTCCGTTTGTGGATTTTAGGTTGGGGTTAGAATTAACAACATCTTGGAGATTTAATATTCTTATTTAATTTTTCTGTGGAAGTGCTTACTTGACTCATCCATCCTGATGGAGATCGTGGTTCCATCAATGTCATCCTTAGAAGCGTAATTTTTCTCGAGTATCCTGCTCCTCAAGTGGTCCGTGTAATTATGCGGGAACTCCACCAAGGCTACTGTTCTTCCCGCGCGAATGTTATTCAACCCATTCTCCCAAGAATCTGTGGCCAACTGAAGGTGATTTTAAATATTTTTTGGATTTTATAAATCTAGTTTTTACGAAAAACCCACTAAAACTCATTGAAAAGACGAAGTTAATTATTACCACTTAAGCCTCATGCATAGTTTACTTTCTCTCTAACAAAAAATAATTTAGCCTTACCCAAGCGAGCTCATAAGATTTGAAATTTCCAATGAAGTCACATATTCCCAAATTTTCGAAACACAGACTTGTCCCATTGCTCCTTTGCAGTTCTCGGGCTTCACAGTATTTTTCCAGTTGAGCATTATTTGTTACGTTTGGGATCCCCGTTACTAAGGAAACTCCAACGTTTCTGGGCTCCAGACCCACAACGTTTTGCAACACGATAATAACCACGAGCGGCATTAGAAATTCGGAAAATACAAAAGGCGTTAGGACATGGTTTTGACGAATTCATACCTTAATTGCGGGGTGGTTTTTAGTCGTAGAGATTTCTAACTTTTTTTATTTGAAAGCCCATGTCTCAAACTATAGGTAAGCATATCTGGCTTCCGATTTTGTGTACTCTGCGAAATGAGGCAAGGTCAAATTTGGAGAGGTGTCCTTTTTTAGTTTTCCAAACCAGTGTTCTTATAAAATGGCGTTGAGCAATATATTTTTTTCTGAGGTCCTGATGCAAAAATCGTCTTTGCGACTATTTTTAAGGGACTTAGCATGCTTTTCACTATATAAAACCACGTTTGCCTTATGCGTATCTTTTAAGTCCGTTTTGCAGTCTAATTTCATACTTGTCCTAATGGAATGCGCTCTTTAACGCAACTCTTCCACTTTTAAGGCCCCCACATTTTACGACTTTGATGCTAAAAATCCCTAACGTGGGTTTTATCCAAGGTACATATAGTATATTGCACTGTAAGTACTTTTGACAAAATTTTGATAAGTGGTTATGCCCCACGGACTGAGTTTTCATCAGACCTTATAAAATTTTTGGAAAAGTTCCCGTCGTTTTCGATGTCGAACTTCAGAAATAATTTAACTAACCAAAACGCAATAATTTTATTATTTTGGCACTTGTACCTTGTAGATAAAATAGTTCTGCAGTAGGGGACACAAAAAGATTATTAAAATTTATTTTCGAAAAAAATTTACCATTAATTTTCCAAATAAGTTCACGAGTTTTTTAGGATTCCGCGACAGCTGATTAACTCGGGTCCTTCTCTAAAACTGTTTATACAAAATCTTGACTGTTTGTTTTAATATTACTTAGGACACTTCCAGCTTTACCCTCAATCTTCATTTGACCCAGTCTGTCCGTTTTCAAGGTCAGCAGGTCAATTTCCCGGTGCACGGTCCGATTTATCACTTTTCATGGAAAAGTATCAGCGAAGATGGAGGCACAACGTTATGCAATTCATTGTGGATTCTTTTATTATTTCATGCAATGATTATCTAGGGTTGTAATATTAACAATCATCCACCTCTGACCTCTTGGGTTATCATGCCCTATGAGTCATTCAGTTTGGAAAGTGTTTTTTTGGCTCCTTCCAACTCTGGGGGCACTGGAGGGGGCATTTTTGAAGCTATCGCCCTAAAATTTTAAACATATCTTTCTGAGAGTATGATCTTACAGCCTACAAAAAATCAGTTCAAAATTCAATTCCCCGCCAGAGATATTCATCCGCGAATTCGTCAAAACCATGTCCTAACGCCTTTTGTATGAGTCTAAATATGTACATAGGTATAAACAAATTCATTAATAAAAACATTTTCAAATATTTCGTATTTCAATTTTGATAAAAAATTCAATTTCTAAAAAAAACTACTGCGAATCGTATATGTAAGTTGTTAAAATTTGAAGAGCGACACACGCTTAAACAAAATAACAATTTTGATCAGTATACATATACCATTTGTAAATGCACTTTAGATTCTAAATATAGTAAATCACACTAATCATGCAAACTTTACTCTTTCTAAAGTCAACGTTACTCTTGATTTACTATGGTTAACGTAATTCAAAATTCAGAGTGAATTTACTTTTCAAAAGGAAAACTACGGGTTTTCCATGTAGAATAAACTTTGTGTTACGCGAATGCGCCAAAAAATGCAAATGCGGTGACTAGCACAAATATTTTGACTGTACCTCCAGTCCCGCTTCCTGCTTCGCCACGCCTTAAGTACGAGGGCATGCAGGATAGATAAATGGTTCGTCTCCACATTGACGGGCGAGTGGGTGACATTGTCATGCGACGTGATGGACAACTTGCGGTAGAAGTTTGCCTTCACGACCCACCTCTCTTCGTCCCCGAAAATCTTGTCGGGATCCGTGGACAACGGTTGAGCCTTGCAGACGTCTGCATTTGTGGACGTACGAGTCTCATGGAGACGGGACAGGTGGAGAGCCACCGCTTCAAGGGATGTCTCGCCATGCATGGCGAGAAGGGCGGTGGGCGTGTCTTCGGCGAGAAGTTGACCGCCCCGCATAAAACCAACCTTAAAAAATTCATTTAGAGATTAAAATTTTCGAAATCAGCATCTTGACGTTTCAATTGTCTATTTCTTATGCATAAATACGCAGATAATAACATTGAGGGTATTCACGACCAGTTCGCGTGTAATAATATAATTCAGAAAAATTTGAGAACAAAAAAATTATACAAGGTCACCAATAATACTCTGGGAATTCATTACAAGTTCACATGCTCGCATTGTTTGAAAAGAAAATTACGAGCTTCGGTTTAGTACAAACATTGAGGATGCACAAGTTCGCCAAGGAATTTTCCAGCAAAAATTTTATGCGAGCTTGTCAACTTGTTTTTTACGAAATTTTATATGAAATTGAAATATGAAATTTTATATATTTTAAAAATACTAAATTTTGAAATATATTAAACTATTTATGTTGCTTAGAAATTTAAAAATGCATATATTCCTTATTCATGACGAAAAATTTTCAGGTTTAATGTACATGATCTCGAAATGGAACTCAAGAAAGATCTCACTGCTAAAATTAAGTTACCTACTTTCGAAAACAATTAAATTTTACCAACCTTATCACACCGCTTGCATTCTTCGATATAATGCGTAGCTATTATGATGGTGGTCCCTTGAGTGCGTGAAATTTCAAATAAGTGCTCCCAAATTCTGAAAATTTGTTATTCGATTTAGCTTAACAATTCTAACAAAATCAGGAAATTTTACCTTTGTCTCAACAGAGGATCCAGACCCACAGTAGGCTCTAAATAGGGTTATCAGTAAGTTATAAATACCTTATAGGTTGGCTCAAAGTATTACCGTCGAGAACCAGAAGGGCAGGATTGTGAATCGTAACCACGGCCAAGGACACCCTTCTCTTCTGGCCCCCACTGTGTGCATAAATTTAAATTTTTCATCAGAAATCTCCCGCCATCTAACTGACCACGTGGCTCTGATTTAAATCTATTTGCCTCAAATATTGAATTTGTGTTGACCGGTCTGGCAAGTCGAGAAAGCTGACGAGAAAATCTATCCTGTTTTCTATCGATTTTCCCGACATGCCATAAATTAGTCCAAAGTGGTGCAGCGCTTCGGCAATAGTCGACACGTAAAGGAGAGAAATTTATTGAAACAAATGGTAACAAATTAAAGCTTACAAAAGCTAATACCAATTTCATATCGGGTTTTTGGAAAGGTTTCATTTTTTCTTTCCTAATTAAAAAAAACATTTTGAATTCCATTAGCGATTTTTAAAGATTTTTAGATATTTGTTTAATCCGATAAACCGAACACGGATATGTACTAACTTTCAACTTTTACATTAAATCAAAAAGTTAAAAGTAAATTTTGATGAGGACCGATTGTCAATCTTTGTCCGCGTGTTCCTTCTCCTTAATTTTTTAAATAATTTCCGAAACAATTAACTCCAAATGCAGCAAGTTACTTACTTGTGGCATGTAGCCGCACAACTGACCCAGGTGACCGTTCCTTTGTTGTCCAAATACTATAAGATCACCACGGTCGAGCTTTCGTAGCCCGACGACACAAGAGAGAAGAGTAGTCTTTCTTCAAAAAATGATACAAACTATTTCCACTCTCAAAATTTGCATAAGCAAAAAATTTGCATTAACTGCAGAAATAGTTCATCTGTTTGTTAAACGCTTATTTTACTCATAAACTTACCCACACCCACTCGCACCGAGGAGTCCATAACTAAGTAAATTTGTCAAATACACAATGATGAATTAATCATTTTCCAAAATTTTGAAGATTCCAAATTCAAATTTCAAATAAAAAAATACATTTCTCCCCGTCCGACACTCATATTGAGATCTTTAAGAATGTAGGATCCTTTAACGTACGACTTTGTCCCGTTGCTTACTCGCAGGGCCATAATAAATTTGTCCTAATTTTACAAGGTTTACAAGAAAACGATTGGGTTCTTCCAAATTTAAATTTCGAACATGCCTTCTCTCCAAAATTTGTCTATTTGACAAAATATATATTTTAGAAATTGTACAAAAATTCAAATTTTTATAGGGAATACTTCCATATCCGATCAATCTCCCGGAAATTGTTTGCGGTTGAGGGTGTAAATCACCACAGAAATCGTAGGTGGCGAGGTTTGTGGATTTTAATAGCAACATTAAATGATACCAAGTCGTATTAAAAATGAATCAAAAACTCCGACAGGGTTCCGCCATACACATTTTTTTACTTAATGAAATGGAGCAAACATAAATAAATTTGATGCGGACCGAACAAAAGTTGTTTATGTAGATATGTAATCGTACTCATAAATAAGAATATCTACGTATCTTAAAAATGTGTCAAATCATTTTACGCTCGTCCATATTTATACCACGTCATCATTATTAACGGGGAGGATATGAAATTTCCCCCATTCTCACCTGTTGAAAATGAGCCATTATATATGAACAATCCCTTTGTCATGTGATTTTAACCACTTTGGAGTGATTTTTAAAACCATGATAATATCGTTATGCAAACAAATTTTTGTATTGTTATTATTTAGCCGGTGTATTTTGGCACATTCCTTGTGCAACCCTGGCTACTTCACTACCGCAAGCTCAGTTTATACCTTACCTGGGTTGTCTAGTGCATACTTATCTCAAAAACACATCATACCTCACTCACTCACTCATCATTAACCCAAATTTCGTCAGTTCTGATGCCAAGACTACTTAGTGCTCTGTCTCGACTGGAATCCCCATTTCGTAAGTTTAATTCATACAAATTTGTTATTCAATAGATCAGGCCCGTACCGACGATGCTTCTAGGTGGAGCGCTGGCTCCAGGCCGTACGGCCCGATGGGCCGTACCGGCTCGCCCTATGCACTAGATATAATTGTGTGTTCACACGCCGCAAGATAATTGCACATTAAGTATCGGAAAATGTAAGGAAGACGTGCTTAATTTGCCAGGCCGTGTGTTCCTACTCAAAAATCTAGCGATTATAAACCCGCATCTGCTCTTACGGGTTTAGACCTTTAGATCATGAGAACGTTGATGTGTCATACAAAATGTAGTATTACATATAATTTCATACCTCCCTCCACGAGTTCATAATCTCATGTAACATTTGATTTCAAGAATTTAATTTCAAAGAAAGTGAATATCGTTGGGTACATAGGGAAGGCATTCAAAATCGGTTTTTTCAATTTCGTAAAAGCTGATATGAAGGTAAATAAAAGCCGGTTTTTGGTTCAAGCAAAAACCTGTCATAATTTTTACAATTCTCCAAAACACCAGTTTCACAATGTTCGAAGAAATCGGTTCTGTACAAATAAGGTTTTTACACACTCGAAAACCGGGTTTTGGTTTTTAATAATACGAATTCTTTGAATCTAATGTTTAATTATTGAGATAAGAATTAATCGTGCTGTAATTCCTCATTCCCAAGTTTACATTTAATTTGAATTTTGCATCAAATTTGTGGTTATTATATTTGCTAATTTTTTTTAAAAAATTTGAATAAAACCGTCTTCAAAACCCGGTTTGTGCGAATCAAACACATTTTTCCTACGAATTTCCAAAATCCAATTAATATAAACCTGGTTTCGTGGAATTTTCCTAAAGCTAATTAATCGAAAACCGGTTTTACCACAATTTTAAAAAGCGAAATAAGCGAAAAACTTATTTGATAAAAACTTCCGATTTTGGTCGCCTTATTGGTGAATGCACATGATTTCTAGTTTAGTTAATTGGGTGGAATTTAGATTGAGCTTAAACCTATTTAGTGCTCAGGGGTCCTTGGTCAGGGCGGATTTTTGGCATGAAAATGTTTAGCATGAAATAGGAAAAGCAACTTGGGAACACTTTTGGGTTGATTTATATGAACACAAATGTTTGGTACACATTGTATTGAAATTCCGGAGTCCTGTGAAGGTGTAATTTAATAGAAATCAAAGAATCTGCCGCTTCGCGTCAAAATTCCTTCCTGAGTACTAAGCTTTAATCGTTTGATTCGAGCGAAGACAATTGTCGTTTTATGGAACACTTTTTAATTCGGGAAGAAGAGTAGTCGTACTGAAAAATTGTGGTCATTATAAGAGAATCCCCCAAAATTTAGCACTCAATTGCATCTATGCAATTGAGTGTTAATAAGAACATTTTCCTTCTGAAAATTTAGACATTTCTAATGGAATGTCAGACTCTGTATATTTTTTAGACTTTTATTTGAATCAATGCATTCTTCCTCACATACAAATACCGTAACATACGTATGTACTTATCTTGTTACAGAATTAATGCATCATTGTGTTCCTCATACATACTGCTGAAAACGTTAAACTCGGTACCGTTTTTTGAGATTTTTAGTACTGATTCCAAAGGGCAAAGAGAGCGGAATTAGCACCAATATTATAAAATTCTAACTTTATGTGTTCCGCTGCAAATTATAATTAACATCATTGACAGGGAAATTAAAATGAGCCGAAAATTTGTTTCATGTAAAATTTACTCCGCGGTTTGAAATTTGGATATCTCCATGCGCAGGTTTGAAGTTTTACAGGCATTGAAAATTTTGAGAAACTACGCCGCTGTCAATTTCAAAAGAATTTTCTCTATGCTAAATATGGGGAATTTAAGACTGGCAGTGGCGTAGTTTCTCAGAATTCTTAATTTCTGTAAAAGTTCAAACCTGCGTGGATAGAGAGTATGTAGACGCCTAGATGTCATAATTAATTTTACGACCCACTTTGAAGCAAGATAAAATGTCCCAATGACTAGATATTTTGCACCAGTTTTGAATAGGCCGGACTGAATATGTGCTCCAGGCCGTCCCAATCCAAGGAACGCCACTGCAATAGATGACCAGATCTTCATTTTATCGACATCGGCACTACATTTTATTAAATAGTGCACAATTAGATATTAAATCCTGTCTGGTAAGTTACAAGGTATGAAAATATTAAATGTTGCACGAGCATCGAAATCAAATAAATAAATTGAAGCATTATCGTACTTGATCACCAGATTTTCTACCAACGTAACTCTGGATGACGACAAGCATTTCAAAATAGTTGATGGAAACTTTCATGTTATGCAAGCAGGACCAAATAGATATTAGGCGTTGCTTTAATATTATTTTTGCTGTATTAAGGGTAAAATCCAGTGTAAACTGTAGCGAAAATTATCACTTCATTTTGTTCATATTACCTGTTCACCAGAAAGAATGTTGTGCGGTCTGCATATGTAGATAACTCATCTTCACTTATGTATGTATACGTATTTACGTATTAACATAGCGATGAAATAAATTTTTGTAATAATTAAGACACAACCTCAACCTCTTATCTTTCTGGTCGAGTTCATACTGCAGGCACATTGCATTGTATTTGCAAGCCACATTGTTTGGCTGCCTGCAAAGTTACATATTTAGTTAAGTTGTACGATAATTCCTAAATTTCTACCATTTATTTATACCTGTTTCTTGTATTCCATTTTAGTTTGTAAAATTTACTCGCTTCATTAACGAAATTTTCAAATTATTAGGCTACAGTTTAGATAATTTACGGATGTTTTTTTAGCAAGGTACATTGCAAGTATGAAAATTAAAAGCGATTTTTTGTCAAAGGAGAAATGGATGCAGCTTTAAACATATATTCATGCAGGGTACCCAACAACTTCATTATCAGTTAAGCCAGAAATATTAACCGGAAATTAGTTCGCTCTGTTGAATATTTCGTAATGATGCCACAAACAGTTTACTACTTAGGCGGAATTCCCCGCTTACATTTTGTATTTTTGTATGCTTTACATAAGAAAGTTAAGCCGGTAATTCCGCAAATGTTGTAAATTGTTTTCCTTATCATTCTCATTTGCTGGAAGAGTTCACTGATTTAATGCATACTAATAACGATATATTTATTAAATAAATTTTCCAGAATATTTAAATTAAAATGTGGTTGGAAAATATTTCTGTACTTATAGTAGCTTAGGATTAGTGACATTACTATCCAGTTCGGTTTTTGCTTGACTGCTTTTGTATAAAGAAACATCACCATAATTATCCATCCCGGAACCTAGCACCTCACCTCTTGAAGAGACTCGAGTTTATGTACGAATGCAAACTCGAGTAAAACATATAGATACAAGAACAAAACCATGTCGAAACAAGTTATGCGTGCTAGTTATCCCTCCATCATTCAGTAACTTAACACACGTCTGCACTTCAATAGTATTTCTAGACATCAATAGTCTTGTATCTTCCTTCGTCCGAGCAATAGTAAAACCAACAATCTCATAATGCCCTCATTAAATACGGTTTTCTTACTAATTTGTTCAATTTTAATGGCACATTTGATTGTGCCACCTTTCTTGATTCTGATTGTTACACCACTTTATATCTACAAAAATATAATAACATTTCTGTCAAAGTGGAAAGTCGGGTTCTATGCCCCGTTATCTGTTGGAGATTGCATTCATGTTTTAGATGATATCCACGGACGACCAAAATCTTCGCTTACTTTCGTAGCTTACTTTAAAGGGAGCTACCCTGTTGAGGGATTTGTGTACCGCTTGAAACGATTAATTTCAATGGTAAGAAAATTGCATATTCATTTGGAGTTTGAATTTTAGAACTCGACAGGTACCAACTGTTTTGAAATTAATGTCTCAATAAAGGGATAACCTCAGATGGTCAAAATAAGTTCATTTAACCTAATGTTGAGTGTCGCACATTACTCCAAGTAGTACATTCAGATACTATAAAAATCTAACATTTTTATCTTTTGCGAACCAGTGAATAGTTTTTAATTCGTTTTGATGGTAATTATATGCTGGTTATAGTTGCCCGAGTGCGCTCGGGCAACTACCACTCGAGTTGTAGAATGCAGGAAAGACGACAATACAAAATAACTCAGGCAATATTCACGAGTACCAAAGTGTGCTTGAAGCTAATTGTGTTCAGATTGATAAATAACGGGCAATATCTCTTCTGATGATGTGACACTCCGAAACTGAGGTCAATGTGTGTAATTAATTGCTGTCGAGTTTAAAAGTTCTGTATGGAGTACATAGTGATATACTGATAATTTGGGTTAGAAGGATTACGTAAATTTTCATTCTTTTTAAAAATTCCCGTTAGCACCGTAAAACAGGCTACTATAAGTTAATCTGCACAACTACAAGATGGATGTGTGTCTACTTTTGGAAAAGGTGCGAAGATTTTGATGTCTTAGATCACGTCACCGTAAACGAGGAATCCGATCCAGATAAGATATCTAGTTTTTTGAACGGTCAAATCGATAGGGCCTACCCTGTGGGTAAACCATTATGGGATATTGTTCTTCTCCCTAACTATGTACTCACCACTTCAGCCATAGTGGCAAGAATGCATCACTCGGTCGGCGACGGCTTAAGTTTCATCGCCTTTGTTCGTGATATGTGCGACGAAAATCCAGCTAGTGTTTCGACCGTCATCCATGCCGGTCTGGCGGGTGCTGTTCGAAGGATAATTCTAGACAGGGGTGGTACACCTACAGGAGATATTGCAGCTACATACGTCCTTCCAAAATTGAACCATCCTGGGACATTATCCAACAATGCGTAAGTTTAGAGTTTAGACTTTCCATGAGATTTCCATGAGATTTTCCAGAAGAACATTTGCCTATTTACATAACTTGTGTAATTTATAATATTCCGATATATTTTATTGGTCACTGTGCAAGGTTGCTGAATTTAATGCCTGGTAGAATCCAATAAAGCTATGTGGGTAGTACCTTGTAGTACACTAAATTGCCCTCATGTGCTGCTCAGTACTACGTATACTCAATTACCCGGAAATGAGTGGGGTCCATGTTTTATTAACGTGGCCAAATTTTGACAGATATCGATCTTACGATCTCGACAAGTTAACATTGGTTGCCTGCAGAGTCTTAGTCTTGAATTTTAGCGCTGTAAAACTCTGCCGAAATTTTGGCATGGCAACTTCGCTCCCCTGCAACACAGGTCAATTTGACTTGTGTAGCACTTTTCAGGCCTTTTTACGCACAAATACTTATTATGAAAATAGTGCTAGGATGGCTTCCCCAAAATCTGACCCACTTGAACAGTGTGCAGACCCTAGTCATTATTGGGGAACTAGAATCCGACCGACTATTCGAAAAAGATATAATGCATTATAAACCTAATCTACTCATTCGTTAAATTCTGTGGAATTACTATTCCACACTTCGTTGGATCCACGAACCTCTAGCGGTGGTTCAACACGCTACCATGCCCCGATTTCTTTTTTTTGGGGGGAGGGGGGGCAACCGGGGAATTTGGAATTCGACAGTAGCGTGACGCTACCACCGAATTCCCTCCTCATAGAAGTATGGACGACGGGCAATCCATTTCCTACTGCTAACAATGCGATGATGTGGAGTGTAACCCTCCCATTTGGTTGAAATTTTGAAATAATGCGGTCCGTGTCAATACAATAAACCTTCTGTGAGGAGAGAGTATTATTAGAGTATTATTATTATTAGTTATTTTTGGAGAAAGTAGTTTTGGGGTAAGATGAGTTGTTATGGGAATGCTCTTTGCTCGCAGTGTAAAAACTGCGAGCACGAGAAAAATCAGTCAGTTGGTTGCGAGACTTGGGCGAAGGAGGAAGCAGAAAAAAGAAGGGGAAGAAAAACGAGAAAACGGAAATAATAAGAAGAAGGAAAAGGAGTCCAAGGGTGAAAAAGGGTTAAAGGGTATGTTGTAGGGCACTGCAGAGGCATCACTGCAGGTAATGTGCTGGAAGAGGCATCTCTCCAGCACCTGAAAGTTTCTTATTTTTGTCACGAGAAGTGACTTTGTATGTATCTGGTCAAATTAGCTATTTTTCTCTCTCCCTCCAAGCCACGTCATCAATTTTATTTAAGTAGTCTCGTTGTGGGAATAAATTGTGGGGAATTGATCAGTTGTAAAAATCTGTCTTGGTGTCATATTTATTGTAAGTAATGAGTTGTAAAATCGTATGTAGAGTAATTTTCTCAGCATAATTTAGCAGTTAGAACCCGAGTAGTGCATTGGATATGCAAATAGTGTCGTAATTAGTGTCGGGAAGGCTTAATTCGTCACACCTCCTTTAGGCACGTTGTGCGATGGTCAGAATGTCTCAAAATATTTGAGGTCAAAGTTGAAAGACGGGCGATTTCTACCTGGCGGAGGAAGCAAACTAAACTTGCATTCTCTACCCGTGCTACAAATCGCATATTTTTTATCTTTGCCCTCAAATATTTTGACAAACTCTTACCATCGCACAAACTGCTTGAAGATACATTTGTTGTATTGACATGAAAAACATAGTTTCAAAATTTCAACCTATTAGGGGTTTACACTTCACACCATCGCATTGTAAGAATTGCAACACAGCTTTTTAATAAATGTTTTGCTGACAATTAATGACTTTTTAAACAGGTTTTGCATTTCTCTAACTACACCAATGTCTGGAGATGATGGCATCAAACGAGTTACCCGGATTTCCCAACAACTGAATCGCATATTCTCTTTCGCCCCGATCGCAAGTACGCTGCATTTCAATATATTAGGATTACTACTTGGTGCTCATATGGATACGAAAGTTTTGTCTAATTTATTCACATTCGTCCATTCGAATATGGTTTTCATTGGAGAGCCGCTTAAACTGTTTGGAAGCACGTTAGACAGGATGGTTGCAACTGCGGGGCTGATACGGAAATCCAATCCTCTCTTTGTACTTACTACGAGTTACAATGGAAAATTAAACCTGCAACTGGTCGGAGATAAAGCCGTGTTTCCAGATCAAGAAAGTTTGTTTAGAGTTGCGAGGTATGTTGAGGATGAATTTGAAAAACTGGATGGACAAAGCGACGCCGAAATGGCAAGCCAAAATCTAATAGCTACACTTGTATGAAATTAAAATTCTTTGTACTAAATCAAATAAATTACGAACTTCATAATAAGTTAAAAATCTATGTAATTACTAAGAATTTATCAAATACATAATTAAATCCCTTTAACTACTTATTTAATATGTTACAAAGTTAATTCTTTTAACAGTCTAATCCTTTTAATAGCTAAATATTTCTAAACTTATTGCGTTTGGGAGATGATTGAATCAGTGAATCCGATTTCCGATACGAAAATGTACCAAATTCATGCCGAAATATGACAAGTATTTGCTGTTACACGGGCTGTTACGCGGAACTGGATCTTGCGTTATATGTTTGCCTCAATCATGTCTCTGATGAATTCCATGAAATCCAATTTTTTTTCTAAAACCATTCATAATACCGGGACAAAGTTTTTGAAATCTAGCGGGCCAAGTGTGTTGACCTAGCAGGGGATTATATTGAAAAGCATAAGGTCAATATCACAATTGTATTGTGGTCTCATGGTCAACACAAAGACTTATGCCCCCTAGTATTATTCATTATGCCCCCTAGTATTATTCATGCACCAGAAATAAAGTCGCCCTGTATACATAGATAATTCAACTCATTTTCACTTGGAAGCATCTGGATGTGGATGAAATGAATCACAGTTCGGGTACTTTTCGTTTTATTTGCAGGCTACATTGTTTGGCAGCCTGCTGAGTTAAGTAGTTGTCTTTGCACGAATATTTGTAATTTCCAAATTTCTACCATTTATTTTTGAATATTTATTTTACTCCGCTTTATTTTTTTCAATTTATTTATTTTCATTAACCAAAGTGTGAAATCATGACGTTCGTCGTTTTGACAAATTTTCAGATATTTTTCTGGTAAGGTGGATTGCAGTAAAAGCGAATGCATGACAATTAAAGGCGAATTTTTTTTGAAGTCTAAGAACTCACGTTCGGTACCCAACCAAATCATTATCGTGACATACACAAAAATATAAACTGGAGATTAATTCGCTCTGTTGAATCTTTCCTAATGATGAGATAAACAATTCACGATTTTTAAAGAATTTCCCGATTATCTTTCATACACATATTTTTGTTTAACGTACGAAAAGAAGGCCGGGAAAACCAGACATACAGTGCCAACCAAATGATGATACGTTTATGTATACATAAGAAATAGAGTTCTGAGTCCGAATGAAATGAATTCAAGTCAAACATATAACCAAACCTTGCAAAAATTGAGAAACCTAGATTCTACCTAATCCGCACTGTGCAGCATGACTACTGAAATATGTATACTTACATTGGTGGACGAGCTAGGGCAGTGGGTTTATGTTCCAAGTTAATGGATACTTATTTACACACGTGGCTTATTTATTCTATTTGACTTACCTACATACGAAATATAAGCCGGGAATTCCACAAAAGGAGTAAAATGTTTATCTAATCATTAGTAGAAATTCAGCAGAGCGAATTAATCTCCAGGTAATATTTTTGTACTGATCATTAGGCGCTTGGCTACCCTGTTTGTGAAAAACTTTGCTTTTAATTTTCACAATTGCAAGATTTGTTCGCTCTGCCGAATTTCTGCTAATGATTAGATAAACAATTTACAACTTTTGAGGAATTCCCGGCATACTTTCGTATACAAGTAAGTTTATGAACTAAATCTGCCACGTGTGCTCAAAGATCCACTGACTTGGCAGATAAATCCACTGCCCTACCTCGTCCACCCATATAAACGTACATATTTTAGTAGTCGTGCTGCACAGTACGGATAGGGCAAAGGGTGTCTCCCCAGTTTGTGTCACATTTAGGTTTCATTTAGGTTTTTAATTTGTTTACACTCACAGTCAATTGAACTCAAATGCACTATATTTACATATGCACACGCTAAATAAATTTGATTAAAATTTACTCAAGGTTGAGTAAAATTTGCGATGACACAACTGTTGTGTAAAATTTGCCAAATGAGTTAAAATTTATCCAACGTTGTAGAAATTTTGCACAACTTTGAGTAAATTTTACCTTTCTTGAGTAAATTTTGCACAATCAGTTGTGTCATCGCACATTTTACTCAACTTTATTTAGAGTACATGCACATTAGGTAACGTGCAGATGTTATTAATAATTAGGAGTCTGCGAATTCAAGGAAGCGGTCAGACGTTCGGTTGATATAGGAGATATGTACGATTGGATACATTAATTGTATTAGAATGTCAATGGTTGGAAATCAGCATGTTATCATGTTGTTACCTTTTGACAATAAAGACTTATTATTATTATTAATTTTCCTAGAAATTTTGTCCAGCACGATTTAAATTGGCTTTGCAATGGTACGCTACCGGTGAGGATTTGCTTGGAAGTACGGTGCAAATTTCATTTGATAATCGATATTACTGGTAGATAAGTTTTGAAATAACGTTTTTACAACGATTCATATCAAAATTTGAATACTTTTTATTCATGAAAAAATGAATGATTGGATGAATGAATTTATTACTATGCTTTTGAGACCGCTTAAAGGCCAATGATTGCACAATCAGATTAGGTATGAACTTATAAATTACAAATATGCACATATGGAGAAAGTCTAGCTAATCTGTTTCAAATAGGTTCGCACTTTAATAAATTCATGACTTCTTACCTACTTGTGTTTCCGACTTTCTGCCAGTAGAACGATCAAAATACAGAGTAACGTCCATCCCAAACCAGTTATGAAGCCCCTCGTCACATAAAAGTTTTCCAAACCCCACCCCCTCGATGTGATAGACCTCATTGCCTCGTTGGGGTAGGTGGCGGGCAGCCAGTGGCTAAAATATTGGCGGACATAATCTGGTGACAACTCCAAGGGCAAAAACAGACCTGCAAAAACCAAAAATTGATTACCATTCATAACAAGATGAATTCATTATTGATGCATCGTTAATCTGGATTTATGTACATAGGAGGGCTTACGTAATCTGAAATTCGGAGTGCATTTACTCTTCAAAAAGGTAGTATCTTTTTGAAAAGTGTCCAACAAATTTGAAATAAACCCACCTGATGATGAAGCCTGAGTACTGAAAAGGCAAAGAACCAGGATTATCGCTTCGAGCGCATCATCCCGCAAAGTTCCGAGCATCCAACCTGGCAAAAACATTATTTCAAAAATATTTTAGATTTTATTAAATTATCTTTTTTTGGAAAATACTCGCCACAAAATTTCAAACGAGAAGAGTACTAAATAATTTCTAATTTAATATTTATATCCTTACCGATCGCTAATCCTTCAACAGACGCTAAGTAAATGAGCCCTAGCATGAGCGCCCACGACCCTTGGACACGCATCCCATACCCTGCCGTCAACAAAGTGACGAAGACTATAAGTTGGACGACAATCTTGATCGAGTCGGCCACCATGGAGGCAACGAGGCGATGTAGTAACGTCACGCCAGCCGCATAATCGCGGTCTTCCAATCCTTCAGATCGATCCACGATCCATACTACGCCCGCCGACTGCGAGAGGAACAGCATCAACCTGTCGAAGTAGTTGAATGTTAAATATTTTACAGTTTTTTATTAACGGTGTATACATATTTCGGTTCTTTCGGGTTTGAAAAATTGTATGCACTGCTAAACAATAACGGTAAGAAAGGCACGGTGCAAGAACCTACACTGTTGAAAATCTGGTAGAGAAACATAGATGCTCTGTGCTGGTATTAATTTGGTAATAATTTCCTACCGGATTGGTAGTAAATTGTTCCTGAGTGATGAATTTGTCATTACCACAACATTACTGAACAGTAATTTCCGTTACTACCAGTGCAGGTGGAGTCACATATGTACTCCGGTCGGTAATGATTTAATACCAGTTTTGTAAAAGTATATGTATCTATGTACAGCTGCGGGATCAAGTTTCCTGCGGCTTTCATTTCTCTGTGGATCATAATAACTGCGTGGATACCACTTTCTTGCAATGATTATTTGCAAGTGGGTCTTTGTATTTTTGCAAATTTTTTTCACATCCGAATTTAGCAATACAAGGGAACTAAACAATGTGCTATAAACTTACATAACTAGCATAGCCGGCTCGGAAAATCGAATAATGCTTTCAATCCCCAAACCTCCGTAGATCGCATTGAACTGTTAAATCCAAGAGAAAAATGGTTATCAAAAATGTATGTTTACTTTTGGGAACGGCTTCTTAATTCGCATTATTAATCTGGATTCATTCTATACTCACGTAAACCGCTAGCTCGACAGACGTCTTACTGACGCCGCATGCCGTCGCCATGGCGCCAAGGTATTTAAAATAGTTGGTCGCAATCAAGTGTTTCATCCAGGTTGCAGTTATGACACCTGTTAAAGAATTCAATAAATGTTCGTACTTCTAATCACAGTCCCCCTTCAAAAAGGTGTTAAATTATTACTTGTGGGAACGTATATTACTCTACCGGCACCGTCATAATGAACATAACCGATCCGTAATGAAAAATTAACCACTCAGAAACAAACTGCGCCATACTGGCAATTCGGTAGGAAGTTATTTCCAAATCAATACCAGTACAGAGTGTTGAAGAATATAGGTGCATATTAATAAATTTGTGATTTTAAACATTGCACCTTTAAATGTTTATTTAATTTTCGTGTTAATTAATCTTTAGTTAGTGCTTAGTTAGTTATTTAATTAGTGCTTACTTGACTCATCCATCCTGATCGAGATTGTGGTTCCATGAATGGTTTCGTTCGAAACGTAATTTTTGTCGAGTGCCCAGTTCGTCATGTGGTTGGTGTAGTTCTGCGGGAATTCCACCAAGGCTGCAGATCTCCCAGCGCGAATGTTATTCAAACCATTTTCCCAAGAATCTGTGACCAACTGAAAAAGCACATCAATATTTTTCAGATTTTATCCAGCCCATTTTTACGTAACTCTCACGAAAATTAATTTAAAAGAAACTAATCAAATTTGATCCTTACCCAGTCAAGCTCATAAGGTTTGAAGGTTCCGAGGAAGTCACATATTCCTAAATTTTCTAAGCATGGACTTGACTTATTGCTTCTTTGTGAGTCACAGTATTTCTCCAGTTGAGCGTTATTTGTTAAATTTGGAATCCCCGTGACTAATGAAACTCCAATGTTTCTGGGCTCCAGACCAACAACGTTTTGTAACACGATAATAACCACGAGCGGCATTAGAAGTTCGGAAAATATGAACCTACATAGATATGTACAAATAACAAACAAATTCGTTAATAAAAACCCTACATAATATTTCCAATTATGGTTCATCTAAAATTAATGCGTCATTTTTTTTCTAAAAGGTTATGTGGCATATGTTGTAAAACCTGGAATCTCGAACTTTAGCAATTTTTGGCCGATTTTCAAAATGCAAAATATTTTGGATACCTTGGGCCTTTGTGAAAAATATATAATTTCAAATTTTTAAAATTTGACCCCGTTGACCTGTAATCAGGGCCATAAGGTCATAAAACGACAATGTATGCTTGTATTTTAAAATATGTTACGGCGAATTTTGGACCAGTTTCGAAATCAGATATTGTACCTGATAACGCTGGGAACTGCAAAATATGACCGTGCGGTCACGGAAAAAATCGTGGGCGTGGCAGGGGGTGTGGTAACAATTAGATTTAAATTAGAATTAAAAGTTTAAACCTCTTGGCGTCTACAAAATGTAAATGTACTACCAGAGTCACATGTGTCGACGATGGCAACATTTGCAGATAAAATTCTTCAGTCCACCCCCACAGGGGGTGTGGTCATCAGCGCTTTTGCCGTTAGTCAAGTAAACTACATAGTGCGGCACAAATAATTTATCGGCATCGAGTGAGGATCCCGATGGTCACTTCCAATCACAAGAAGGCCCACCCCCTAGTGGGTGTGGCTTTTTAGAGTTTTGGGTACTAACCTCAGAAAGTATGTCATGGGACACATATAAACTACCGGCTTATAATGGAGAACTCTGTTATCACTTCCAATTACAGTTAACATTGACCACACCCCAAAGTGGGTGTGGCTTTTTAGCGCTTTGGGTACTAACCTCACAAAGTATGTTATGCGACACATATAAATTACCGGCTTATAATGAAGAACTCTGTTATCACTTCCAATTACAGTTACCAGTAACCACACCCCAAAGTGGGGGTGGCTTCGCGCGCTTTAGGAACTATGTCATAGGTATGTCGTGCGATGCAAATAATTTATCGGCACGGACTGGGGACCTCGATGGTCACCTCTAATCCCCGAAAGGCACACCCCCAAGTGGGTGTGCCTTTGGGCTCCTTAGGTATTACCCTCGTATTATATGTCATGCGACGCAAATAAGTGACCTGCGTATAACGGGGCCACTGATATCACTTATAATAAAAGTTACCAGTAACTGGTAAATTTCCGAAAGTGGGTGTGGTTTTGGGCGCTTTTGAAGGTATCATAAAGTATGTAATGAGTAGAAGTGAGCCGGGCCTGGGCTTTAAGTGGGCTAGCCCGGGCCCGCCCAGGCCCATTGGGCTTTGGGCGGGCCTGCCAGCAACCGGGCTTGGGCGGGCGGGCCTGCCAGCAACCGGGCTTGGGCGGGCCTGGGCTTTTGAGGAACCAAATTGAGTTGGGCCGGGCCTGGGCGGGCTTTTGCCCAACCGGGCTTGGGCTTTTTAGGAAAAGCCCAAGCCCGTCTCATATTTTTTTGGGGGTGAGTGTGACACTATTCAAAATTCTAGAACTACATGGAGTTCTTTTTCATGTTTTTTTTTCAATTCACCAGTTATTTTCTTGTACAACAGAGTTACTTGTTTCTTTCTGTGATCATTACATAATGTAATTTACATTATATATATATACATACATACATACGTATGTATATATCCTTATCGCAAATGCTAAAACTAAAGCAATCACTTCTTGATACATATTCAAACCATTTTACACTTTGGGAATTTGAAATTAGTCCCCGATACTACACAGCTTGACACAGCTATTTTACTATAATCAATTAAAAATTCAAACTCTTTCAGGACTTTTTAATTCAAGAGGTTTAATTTTCTATATCTTATTAAGTAATTTAGTTTTCCAAATTTTAGGGCGCCCTTCAATAAATATCTTGAATGATAGGTATTTGTGGTAATCATTCATTTAAACCTAGCGTCGACAAAAAGCCCAATGGGTAGCCCGGTGGGCCTGGGCCTGGGCGGGCTTTTTTCACAAAAAGCCCAATGGGCTTGGGCGGGCCTGGGCTCAATTTTTCCGGGCCTGGGCGGGCCTGGGCTTTTGAGATGGGCTTTTGAACCGGGCTTGGGGGGGCCGGGCTTTGAAAAGTCCAGGCCCGGCTCACCTCTAGTAATGAGACACCAAAAATTTGTCGGAATATAATATTCATACTTCATTTCGTCGGCTATATCTGTGGTGCCAACGCACAAACGACTTGTTGGGAAGGCGAGAAAAAATTTCCGGGAATTTTCGAGCACTTTTATGAAATTTTCAAACAATTTTAGTAAACTTTGAAAGTCTAATAGCTTTCTAGCATTTCTAGCATTTCATCCAAAAATTTCCAGAATTTTTAAAACTCAAGGTTTCGGCAGCAAAACAGTTTAAAACTCGCGCCTCGCGCTCACATCAGGGCCTTATGAAAAATTATAAAATACTGGTATGTTCATTTTTTGTGGTGACCACAGTAAAGTAGCCCCAATGGAGATATGATTTTGAACTAAAAAATGCCTGTACCTTTTAAACAAAATATTCACCAATATATTGTTTGCTGCTGGATATAGCAAGACAAGCAGAGTTATAAATGATTACCGATGTCCCTCGTGTATTTCGACGAAGTATTCATGTCGCAAGATATACTCTAGGAGGCATACTCCCCAAAGCGCACTAAGCCACACCCACATCTGGGTGTGGTTACTGATAAGTGTAAGATAGGTGATAACATAGGTCCCCGTTAAATTCCCACAATTTATTTGTATCGCATAACATTATACGAGGGTAATACCTAAGGAGCCCAAAGGCACACCCACTTGGGGGTGTGCCTTTCGGGGATTAGAGGTGACCATCGAGGTCCCCAGTCCGTGCCGATAAATTATTTGCATCGCACGACATACCTATGACATAGTTCCTAAAGCGCGCGAAGCCACCCCCACTTTGGGGTGTGGTTACTGGTAACTGTAATTGGAAGTGATAACAGAGTTCTTCATTATAAGCCGGTAATTTATATGTGTCGCATAACATACTTTGTGAGGTTAGTACCCAAAGCGCTAAAAAGCCACACCCACTTTGGGGTGTGGTCAATGTTAACTGTAATTGGAAGTGATAACAGAGTTCTCCATTATAAGCCGGTAGTTTATATGTGTCCCATGACATACTTTCTGAGGTTAGTACCCAAAACTCTAAAAAGCCACACCCACTAGGGGGTGGGCCTTCTTGTGATTGGAAGTGACCATCGGGATCCTCACTCGATGCCGATAAATTATTTGTGCCGCACTATGTAGTTTACTTGACTAACGGCAAAAGCGCTGATGACCACACCCCCTGTGGGGGTGGACTGAAGAATTTTATCTGCAAATGTTGCCATCGTCGACACATGTGACTCTGGTAGTACATTTACATTTTGTAGACGCCAAGAGGTTTAAACTTTTAATTCTAATTTAAATCTAATTGTTACCACACCCCCTGCCACGCCCACGATTTTTTCCGTGACCGCACGGTCATATTTTGCAGTTCCCAGCGTTATCAGGTACAATATCTGATTTCGAAACTGGTCCAAAATTCGCCGTAACATATTTTAAAATACAAGCATACATTGTCGTTTTATGACCTTATGGCCCTGATTACAGGTCAACGGGGTCAAATTTTAAAAATTTGAAATTATATATTTTTCCCAAAGGCCCAAGGTATCCAAAACATTTTGCATTTTGAAAATCGGTTAAGAATTGGAGTAGTTAGTTAATTTCAAATTTCCAATGTATTTAAGCATTAGGCCCATCCGCCAACTCGTTTCAGCAAAATTGAATAGAAAAATGACGCATTAATTTTAGATGAACCATATGTGCATAGAGTTATGATAAACATATATAAATTAGATTTCTCAACAAAATTTAGAATCGAAGAAGTTGTTAAAATTTGAACACAGATACACTCCTAAAAATATTACCTGTCCGTTTGAAAAGGAAATGGACACTAAATTAAGTAAACTAAATCCAGCGTAAACTTTACGCTTTGTCAAGACAACTTTATTCTGGATTTATTGAGTACTTCAATATTCCGAGTGGATTTAAATCATCCTGATTATTTTTTGAAAGCCGACACAAATCTTCGAAGATGAGCACAAAGTCAAAGCAAAATGGCATACATAATTAATATCAATTGCCGAAAGGTCAATATGTCTCTAATAAAAAAATTACCTCGAAGTTCTTTGAGGTGCATGTTTTCAAATATTGACCGGAGAAATCGTGACGAATTAAATCAACACCCTTCACTTATCTAAAAAGTTACATTATTTTCAAGGGTGCGTATATCTACATATGTACCTCCAGTCCCGCTTCCTCCTCCGCCACGCCTTGAGCACGAGGGCGCACAGGATGGATAAATGGTTCGTCTCCACATTGACGGGCGAGTGGACGACGTCGTCATGCGACGCGAAGGACAACTTGCGGTAGAATTTTGCTTTCACGACGCCCGTTTTTTCGTCCCCGAAAATCTTGTCGGGATCCGTGGATAATGGTTTTTTATCGTTGCGGACATCTGCGTTGGTGGACGGACGACTCTCATGGAGGCGGCACAGTCGGAGGGCCACACCTTCGAGGGATACTTCGCCATACATTGTGAGAAGGGCATTGGGCGTGTCTTCGGCGAGAAGTTGACCGCCCCGCATAAAACCGACCTTAAGAGCACAAGCAGAAATCCAAGGAAATATAAGAATTGTACAAACCACGACCTGTGGTTTCAATTTTCGAATTTTAAAAAGTTGAGGCATTCTTGACAAATTTGGATAATTATTAGGGCAGGCAGGTATTGACTTCCTTACCTTGACTGCTACAGTTTAAGTTTATTTGCAACAATCAAATCCGACCCACCTTATCACATCGCTTGCACTCTTCGATATAATGCGTTGAAATTATCATAGTTGTCCCTCGTGTCCGTGATAAATCAAATAAATGTTCCCAAATTCTGAAAATTGTGTTCATAAATAATTATCTGCACAAAACAGAAATTCAAGAAAATTATACCTTTGTCGCAACGTAGGATCCAGCCCTACAGTAGGCTCGCTAATTGTTAGAGTAAAAGCATTTGTTAGATTGTTATAAACGGTTTAAGAGGCTAAAGAAATAATTTAGTTTGATATGTTTTTACTCAAGTACGAGGAGGGGGGGATTGTGGATCATAACGACTGCCAAGGACACCCTCCTCTTCTGGCCCCCACTGTGCATAAATTTATTGTTTTCTTCAGAAATCTCCCTTCATCTAACTGACCACGTGGCCCTGATTTAAATCTATTTACCTCAAATATTGAATTTGTGCTGACCGGTCTGGCAAGTCGAGAAAGCTGGCGAGAAAATCTATCCTGTTTTCTATCGCTTTTCCCGACATGCCATAAATTAGTCCAAAATGGTAAAGCGCTTCGTTAATAGTGAACACATTAAGGAGAGAAATTTCCTGAAATAAAAATTGTTTATAACTAAAATTTAGAAAAGGTATATTGTACGTGCAAAATTACATATCGAATTTTCGAAAAGGTTTTTCTCTTTTCAAATTTCGGAAACATTTTGAATTAAATTTTAATTTAGTGATTTCTATATACTTGTTTAAATTGATAGCGGAAATGTATTTAAATATGTTTGACTTTCTCTTTTGCTGAAGAATGCCTGTCAAATTTAGTGCTTTTATTGCTTATTTAAATATGACACAAATTTTAAAGTGTTTGTGCATGTTGTCATATATTTCTAAGGTTTCAGAGATATTCATAAAAAATATACGGATATAATATTCTTATATTTTTCAATATTCTAAATATTTTACATATGTATTTCAATGATTTTAGGCGATTTTTTAAGAATTTTTTGTAAAAAATTGAAAAAAAAATTAAGAAATTGTCCAAATCAATAATCAATAATAAACCCAGAGAATTTGTATTTTGAGTTGTATACAAAACTTACTAAAATTCGTATCTTTATAATTTTTTGCATATACTTATTTCATAAACATTTCGGTGTTTTTTGTAAGTATTAAATAAATACATATTTAAGCGATTATTCGTAAATACATATCCTCGCTATGCTCCTAAATTTCCTGCATTTTTAAACAACTTCCGTAAAAATTAACTCGAAATGGAGCAAATTACTTACTTGTGGCATGTAGCCGCACAACTGGCCTAGGTGACCGTTCCTTTGTTGCCCGAAAACGATAAGATCGCCACGGTCGAGCTGTCGCAGGCCGACGACGCAAGAGAGAAGAGTAGTCTTTCTATAAAAATTCATCTAATTTCACTCTTACAATTTGCATGAGCAAAAAATTTGCATTAATTTTCAGAAATATGTCATCTGTTTGTCAAACGCTGTGAATTTATATTATTCGTAAACTCACCCACACCCACTCGCGCCAAGGAGTCCATAACTACGTAAATACATGCATGAGGATATTTTATTGACAATTAAACATTTTCCATAATAGTGAAGTTTATTTTAAGAAATTTCAAATTTAAGAAAATTTACATTTCTCCCCGTCTGACACTCATGTTGAGATCTTTCAGAATGTAGGATCCTTTAAGGTACGACTTTGTCCCATTGCTTACCCGCAGCGCCATAATAAATTTGTATTAATTTTACAAGGTTTACAAAAAATGACGGGTCTCAACCAAATTTAAATTTCGAGCAAGCTTCCTCTCCAAAAATATTTCTGTTTGACTAAATATTCTCTTCCAAATTTCACATAAATACCAATTTGTATAGTGGATATTTCCTCATTTCCAGGAAATTGTTTTCGGTTGAAGGTGTAAATTATCACTGAGATCGTTCGTGGAGTGGTTTTTGGATTTTAAGAACAACATTAATAATACCTAGTCTTCATAAAAATGAATGGAGAAATCCGACAGGGTTCGGCCATACACATACAAATTTTTAATTAGTGAAATCGAGGAAACAAATTGTGGGGATGTACAAAAGTAATTATTTATTTAATCGCACTCATAAATACAAGTAAAAACCTTAAAAATGCACAAAACCACTTTGAGCTCGTACAATCCCTTTGTCATAGGATGTTAATCACTTGGATTTGTGATTTTCATGAATCGTGTGATTTTAAAACCCCTGACAATACCGTTATACACAATTTTTGTTAAATTATTTATATATTAAGATATACAACTCATATAGCTTTAAAACTCAATAGTACATTCCTACGTGAAACCCTGTCTACTTCACTTCCGCAAATTAAATTTCATATTGTACATGCAGAACTGCACTTACATACCTGTTTTGTGTCCTAGTGCATACCTCAGCAACTCATTATGGCGTGATCACCTCACCCACTAACTCACTCATCATTCACCCAAATCTCGGCAGTAATGATGCCAAGACTAGTTCTCTTTATCTCGACTGAAATTCCCAGTTCCAGTCTCTAATTCCAGGTTTTACATTACGTGCATTCATAGGTATATAACATCATGTAATCCCAATTTTTTGGCATTCTTAATCACGTTTTGGCAAATTGGTACATATATGATTCACTTCATGCCCAATGCATACTTCGACGTACAAAAAATTCTTGATTAGTTGAATATGAGTATTTTTGTTGAATATGTAGTTTTCTACTTAGAAATAATACAGTCAAAACAAAACGGTGTTAATATATGACTTAACCGCCTTGGTTACAATTGTGATTCCGAGTAGTAATGAATTTTTTCCGTCCGGTCATAACATTATAACTATCGGTATCAAAATCATCATAACTCGGATTCAACATTGTAACCAAGGCGGTTAAGTCATATACTGACACCGGCGGTGTTGATTCGACAAATTTTTATTTTGAGTGTACTCATCTATCCGCCACCAATGTGAACGCTCAGGTAATGAAAATATTACAGAGCGTTACGTTATCACATGGAAGAATTTCGTGTTGCCTCGGACGGTAAAAATTGTACCACAAAATTATTAAGACTGTGACCTTGGATATATCTACCTCAATGTAGATAAGTACATGCATAAAGATTAACAATTTAATTAATGAACTTTGCATTTAATTAAATATGTAGTGATTAGTGATATTTTTAGCTCAAAATAATTACACGAATCTATAAATAATATATGTACCCACCCATCTTTTAAATTACGAACTATATGGACACGTTCCCTGTGCAAAAACATGATGTATACAACTTTGCAATTTCCACCAGAAGTTCGACATTTTCTCATGCTTTGTAAGTATTTCAAACAAGTGAAATAATTTAGAATGGTCTGGAAAATATGTATGTAATAGATAAAGACGTTCAGATGTGTGATATAAAATTGGGCAAAACATAAAGATTCAGGGAGAATTGTACATCCTAAGACCTTCAAGAGCTTCAATATTTCTACTGGATTGTTCAAGGTTTTAGATAAATTAGATATCTACCTATATTTAGCAAAGTAATTGCAAATTAACGCTTCTTGTGTACTGAAATAAATGAAAAGTACCTGAAATGCCAAGTCAACCAGAAATCCCGTCCCGATAATCCCAAGTTGGGCTTGTGCATAAATTTTGTTTAACGATTTGCTTGTTTTATTAAGTAGCTTCAGCCACTTTATGTGAAAACTTTATCTGTCCGTCTTTAAGAAGGATAACGCGAGGAAGAATACAAATTATCGAGATCGATTAGCGGCATAATACGTATGACCTTAGGGGGAGGAACCCATGAACTTTTTGGACCAATCGGACCACCCCCTCGGTACCAGGGGGTGTGGTGGGGGCAAAATGAGATTTATTACCGAAATTTAATCTATATGTACGTAAAATACAGTGAAATTAAGTGTATCGATTCACGTATTATCTGATTGTCCTCTTAGACTCATAGAATGAAGTTTTACATATGATGGGGAAGCCCTGGGTGAACAGAACGCCCGATGCAGAGGGCCTTTATGAAGAAGATGGGCTATCTTCTTGAATCAGTAGTGTTAATAAGTAATCTTGTGTACAAGGTCAGCCATTTGTCACGGTCAATAATTTGCACCAGTTTCTAGTAATATCTCCTTAAATACAAAAATTTTGAACAAACTCTCCTATCTCTTAGCTCGCTTTTACATACGTAATTAATAAAAATGTAAGATTATGAAAAACTAGCTTATGTAGATGCGACGCTAGAAAAAACTAGGTAAGAAGATAAATAGAGAGGATCCTGCTAGACTATGTAACCCTTGTTTAAATATTAAAAGGACAGACAAACTCAATAGTTTTGAGATATTTATTCATTCAGATAAATCGTAATTTGAAATTATCTACATATTTTCAGGGCATATTTATTTGTTTATTTATTACTTACTCAAGCATTTTATCCTTTCATCATCCCATTCAATTTAGCTCCAGATCATGTATTCAAACCGCTCTTCCAGCCAAAGTCGGTAAAATAAATAAAGTAAATAAATAATAATAAATAATTAATAAATATACGTGGGCTTGGAAATAAATAAACCGCAGTAACGTTAGAAGTAGCTCACCCTGTAATAATGATTTGGTTATAACTTGCCCCAAAGGTGCACAAAAATTAAACAAAATAGATACATAATTTTTTGGCAATTATGCACCAATGGTGCAGAAAAATCCAACAAAGTGGATCAATAGTTTTTATGCAATGTTGCACCAATGGTGCAGAAAAATTAAACAAAATAGATCAATAATTATTATGCATCGAGAAGAGTCCAAAAATTGTGCATCACTGGTGCAGAATTACCTACCAACGATCAACGATAATTTTGAAAAATTTATGTCAAAATTGTATGATCATTTCTCCCGGATATTCTGCATTATTGGTGCGTTTTGCGTCCCTGCCTCCAATTATTTCGCATCATTTTGTGTTCCCGATTGTTAGATATCAATGGTCCTATTAACTTGTTAAAAAATTTGATTCGGTTTGTTTGGTACCAATGGTGCGCCTAACGTATCCAATAATGGTCAAGGGGCTGTTTAATTAGCATCAATTGATGCAAAAAGGTCGTTAACAGACAGACGGACAGACGGACGGACAAGAGGAGTTCAATAGCTCCCGTGCTACGCAGGGCGAGCTAATAATACATATTATAATATTATAATATTTATTATTTATTATACACGCATTCACAAAAATCGCCTCTACCAAATATGCAAATCTTGACAAAATCACATATTTTTGTGGCCCTAGGGATTCCGGTTTTCATTATTTCTACTCACAAATACAAGTCAAACTAGCACAGATATTTTAGAGCAGGCAAATTATTCTTGCGAAATAATAATTGCTCCATATTTTCTGGACATAAAAAGTATTTGTCACTGTTGTAGGCTGCTGTGGCTTCCGGACGGACACAATGAACGTTTGTTGCTGGCAACTGGAAAATTTGGAGGTGGATAAATAATAAAATCATATATTTACTTCTATAGTATAAATGTACATAAGGCCTGATGAGCTACCAACTTTCTTTGTGAGCCAATTTGTGCTGCCAAAATTGAATCAAAACTAAACTACCCGTACCTGTGCGGGTAGTTGGCACTACCCGCAGGTAACGGGTACCCGCAAAAAGCGTGTGGGTATGCGGGTAACGGGTATCCGACCCGTTACCTGCGGCAACCCTAGTTGTGTGGGACAAAGGAGAATTGGATTGACCGTTTATGAAACACTACTGACAGGTTGCGGACTAAATTATCGACGATTACATAGTGGCTAGAAATATCTTCTAACAACTTATGAGACAAAATAATCGAAATAATTTTTTCCAATTTCTCGTAGCTACAAGTTGTCCTTAAATTATAATGACGTTAAGAAAGTAATTAATTTCACTCTTGGCATAATAAGTTCTTAAACTTATTGTATTCTGATAATTGTAATACAAACTTTTAAATAAAAAGAATCTAGATTTATGAAAGTTTTGAACCCAAGATTTAATGCGTGTAATCCAAAACTGGAATATAATGTATTGTTATATAATAATGTATATAATGTATGTATTTACATTGAGGAATATAAATGCGTTTAAGAAGTTGAAACTACAGGGTGTCGATTTAATTAGTCTCGACTTTTTTGTGGAGCCTGACAAAACATTACGAAAATTATTACACACTCCAGGGAAACCAGTAAAGGACATGATTCATTTAAATTGCCGAAACTCTAATGCCAACGAATGGCCAACAAAAAAAGTATCTAGAAATTATTATCCATGTTTGGTTTCTAAATATTGACACCAGAAATCAAGGCGAATTATTTGTACACCATTTATAATGCTTTTTGACCAGGAGAAGCACAAATATTTACTAGAAACTGAGCAAATTAGCAATAACCACGCTCTAAAGGTACTAATTGTAAGTACATACACCGAAAAATTATTTCCCTGTAAAAAGCAATGCAATTCCCGTATTTGTCACTCTTTCCAAATAATTGAGAAAATAATTCATTTCAATTCCATTCACCAAGGTGCTCAATGAATTAAGGAACTCTATATTCATCGAGTTCGGCAGTAAAGCCTTCACCACTCTGGACGCGTACTTGTGCCGTCCATAAATGTAGCTCATCCTGTGAAGGAACTGCTTCGAAGCAGTGACCGCATTCGAGATGAAGTATATCGCGAATAATTCAATTAACGTCATGGCTCCCATTATTATGATGCTGGCCGATACAACCAGAACCGCAGAGTGACCACCCTTACTGAATGAGACCAGGATATAATACAGAGCAACCGAAGATAACGCGACAGTGCACGAGTGGTGCAAGCAATGAAAGATAAATCCTCTACATAGTTCTTCGTGTAACAGGGTCAGTATTTTAAGGCTGTTAT